GATCTTCCCAGGCCACCTACTCTGTGCTGTCACTGTATCTGGGCGCCATCCCTCTCGTATCCTGATTGACCATCGGGAACTGGAGCACCTTAAAATACCTACAACAAGTCAAAGGCTTTTTGCCCTGATAACGATCACTAGCATGTAATTTTGTCCTCATCTCCGTGAAGCTAATCCTCAAGGAGAAGAGACGCCCTGAGCCCGTTCCGAAATGAGCTCTGGGGGTGGCGAAGGCAGAGGTGTGCTGAGACTTTGACCCCTTAAGTTTCATTAGACTGCCACGAGCTGGGTTTTAAATTCCCCAGTCCACCCCCAGTTCCCTGTAATCTACACGCTTTATCCCATAAATACAAGTTCTTTCTTCTGTGGGGCACCTGCCTGTTCACCACTTGTGATGGCCGCTGCGTTTGGTGTTGGTGTTCTTCAGCAACTCCTTGCTTTTACGTTTGTTGTTGGTGTCCTCATCTTTGCGTGGTGGCCTTTCGTATGCTCTTTCATGCCCAGGATAAAAAACCATCACATAATACTTGCTCACGTCTAAAAATGAGCTGCACCATTTTATTTCTTTCAGACATGTTGAGTTTGTTTTTTTGTTTTTCTAGGGAGCATATTCAGAACAACTCTAAAAATAAACACAAGCAAACCCCACTGATGTTTTTAAAACAAGTATGTGTACAGTTATGAGTGAGGTAGTGGTAAACAATGTGAACACCTGCGCCTGGTGCCTTAAAATAATGTTGATTTGAAATAAAAGGAACTTGTTATCCGAGTTTTCTGTCTTTAGCATCAATATTTCAGTTTTGTGTCGGTAATTTCTTCTACAACATTGCTTTGGCAAATGCTAAACTGTCTCTTTCCTGGGTTAGTCAGCACTACCATCCATTAACTCCTCCCCTTTTGGGAAAGGGAAACTACTGCTTCACTTGAGTTTAGTTTCAGCAGCTCATCCATATTCTTGGAATATAAATAGGCAGATAAGGCTTTCTAATTAATACACTTTTAAAGGACTGTAATCTTAAACTTGTAATATTTTCATGTTTATAAAAATTCAAATAAACTCCTTTAAAAAATATTCTGTGCAACATAGTATTGCAAACACTCATGAATTCCTACAAAAATACACACTCTGTACTTTGCAGACAAAATGGGAGCTGAAATAGAGCAGATTAACACACCTGTGTGCATCTGCACCTTCATGGAGATTACTGCAGGGAATGTAGTCGGGCCATAGCTCTGCCTGCAGATGGGTGAAAGGTCGCAGGTATTTTAGGTGGAATAGCTTAAAGGAGGAGGCAGGGACTTCCTTTGAAGTGTTCTACATCGTTTGAGGACACAGTGTCAGTTCTCTTGTATGTGGCTGGAGTCCTGGTTTTGTTCACAAGTTTGAACGCCTCCAGAACATTTACATTATTCTTTTTGAATGTGGTTGTTCTTCAGGTTTGGGTTGGGGTTTTCTTTCCTTAGAACAACTTCTGGGCAACTGTAAAAGCAAGGACCATTTTCTCAATCCAGTGAGTGGACTTTTCAAACTTGGCCTTAGAAAGGAGGATGTTGTTCCTGACACTTAGAGACCCTGAAATGTTGTTCTGCATCTTTAGAGAGGATTTCTTCCTTCAGTGATGAATACATAGTCACCTCTGTCTGACAGGGCCTAAAAAATTTTTAAGGCCAGTGAGAATGAATGCAAAAAGAAACAGTAAATCTTCTGCTATCCATCCATTTGTGCCTTTAGAACCTGCCAAAGGCATGAATCATCAGTTTCCAAAACTAGTTCCTACTTCTGCTTCTACTATGGTAATTCTCATTAGTAATTTGCATTAATAATTCTCATTATTAATCCTCATTCTTCTCTGCCTTTATAGCTGAAGCTGCTGAGATTAGAGTTGTTTATTATTATTTTCACTGAACATTTTCAAAACCAATTTAAAGTTCTGCTTCTGTCTCTGCATTTTGCTTGTCTCTCTTTAAATACTCCATATTTGTGGTTTGAAATTCCTGAAGGTGTGTCTTCTGAGCTCTTTTGCATTTCAGCGCTTTTATCTTCTATGAGCGAGCGTTGAAAACCTCGGGTTTGTGCTCATTTTAAAAAGGTTACCCCTTAGCCTGTCGTAATGCCTGGGGTTCATGTCCCGCTCCTCAGAGCCCTGTGTTAATAACATGGAGTTTTGCCTTCTCCTAACTCTTCATCAGCAGAAGGGTTCAGTCGCTGTTCTAGGATTCTGCCGTCTTTCTCGTTCCTGTGTCTTGTTCACCATCCGCGTGGTCTTTCATCCCTTTTGCTGGCAGCTGGGTTCCAGTTTCCAGCCAAGTATTGTTTGTGTCACCCTCCCCTGGCTTTGTTGGCTGCGATCCTGGTGCACAGCGATGCACGTTCCGACCGATGCGTTGCAGGTTTGGAGGGACAAACCCACTTAGGTTCCCTGTCAGTGCAGTGAGAAACAAGGGGGTTTGATCTCTGCACGCAAGCTTCAGTCTTGCAGTTCAGTTTGTCTTTCTGATCTGGAATGAAAGGGAAGGGTTTGGTTCTGTGTGGCTTAAATAGAAGTTTATAGAGACCGAGGAACAACAGCTGCTTGGAGGGAGGGCTGAGTTTTGCTCCCTTTGCTTCCCCATCTCATTCTCTTTAATGTTGTCCTCCAGAATGTCTTTGTCCTGGATCCAGCTTCTTTTTAGTGGAGCTTTACAGCACCTTGTGCCATGGCGTTGCATCTCTCTCTACGCTTACTCTTCAGCAAACCACTTCTCCCTCAAAATTGGAGCCAGTCTGCTGTTTGGTTGTCCCGCCTGGCTGTGTTAAAGCATGGTATTTTACAACCGTAAGTGCAAAGTATATCTGGAAATTGATTCTTCTGCAGTTGGGAACAAAATTTTCATTAATTCCGCAGGTATCAGAATTTCAGCCTTGAAGTTCAACAGTTAATAGTCAGAAGCATCCATGAATTTGAGTGCTGAATCCCAGCCTCTCCTTACATCTTGAACAAAAGAAAAGTATTGATCTGTTCTGGCTGAGCATATTTCTTAGTCTTGTGTTTGCAGCCACTTGCTTTTTTACGAATGTCGGCTGTGTGGCAAAGCTTTTTATAGTTGTGTGTGTTCCTGCAGTCTGGGGAGAGTGTGGGGATGGACACCAGCGCATGGATTTCCAATCCCGTATGGGCCCTGTGACTTTGGGAAGTTCTGCCACCTATTTTGATCCGTGTTGTCATGGATAAATGGGAATGTGTTGCAACGTAGATGGGCTTTATTTTAGGTCATCACAAGTTACTACATTTCAAAAGCAATGTGAGCTTTATTTAATTCCTGTCTCCCAAGTGTGGGGGAATCGCGGTGTGTAAATGTATTTTCAAAATGTAGTAATAAAAATTCTGCATTGATGACCTCCCTCTGTGGATAAAGGTTTGGTCTCCTGAATGTTGTGCATCCTTCATAAATTTTAAGTGCTGACAATCAACAGGGCAGCTGAATGGATGACTTCATTACAGCAAGGTGTTACCAAGTCTAATCCAGTTCCTGCCCTAATTATTGAACCAGTGATTGGTGTTCACTAGAAAGTGGGTTTGGTTTTTGTTCTTTTTCTCTGTGCAAATGAGGTTAAGAAGTATCAAATGAAGTGAAAAAACCGACTTGGGGAGAGCGTTCGCTGCTTCTTTCTTCTGAGTTTCTCAAAATACTTATTTTGCGAGAGTCTGCACGTCTTGCCCCTGTTTTGCAAAGACCCTGCTCTTGCTGTGAGCTGGTGCCGATCGCTCGAGCTGTGCTTCACCCTGGGTCAGTCCTTGATTTCACGCGCAGCCCTGTTAGTCTTGGTGGTTCTGCTGTGACTGAACACTTGGAAGCGCTGCCATGGTGTCAGACATGATGGTTCAGCACTCAGCAAGATTAAACCTGTGTTGCTTGCGAAGTGTAACAAGATTTCCTATCATTGAAGCAATCCACTGTAAAAAAAAAAAAAGATTAAAAAAATGTATATAATTCAGTTAAAATGCATTTAAAACTTTATACTTAATTTTATACTTAGAAGTTATACTTGCAACTTTTATATCCATGAAGTTCAGAGGAAGAAATGAAAGCTGTGCTTTGAGATTTCAGTCCAAATGCTACGTTTGGAACGAATCTAACACATCTGTGTAGCGAGGAGAATGTGACACCTCATTGTCAGGTGGCCGTGGTGCCACAGCTATTTCACTGTAGTGATTTGAATCATGAATAAAATCAGCTGAATTCAGCTGTAACTAGGTAAATCTGTCAGTTGGCAACCAGTAGGGATCATGTGAGTCGCTGCTGTGGGTATTCTCATTTCGTTTTTTAAAAAAATTTATTTTAATAGTGAAGTTTGGCTTCAAAATGTTTCAACTAAATGCCTTTTATTTGTAGGAGCAAAGATCAAATTCGTCACCGCTGTCTCAGTGGGGTTTTCAGGTAGGCTTGGCATAGTCTGGTTACTTGGAGAGATGAGCAATAATGATGATGGTTGGAACCATTGGTCCGATAAAATAAATATCTAATGTGACCATGTGGCTCTGTTGCTGTCTGCGCTCTAGACCAGCGTGATGCTAAAGCAGCAAGGCTGCTCTCGAGCATAAAGCAAAGATTAAGAAGACTTAATTTTAATGATGTCTACAGGGAATAAGGTCCTTGACATGAAGGGTTATTTCTGCATCTTAAATTCTACAATTGTAAAGTCTGATTTCTGTCTTGACCTGGGTATATAGTGACTTAGAGGGAGACACGAGCAGGGCTTAGTTTGTCCTGTTCTAAAACCTTTGAGTTAAGGAAGAAAATGACATTTTACTATTTGGGATTTCCAGCTAGTTCTGACCATTTCTGTAGGAAAACCTGACTGGGATAAAAGATATGCGTAACGCATGAGGACCTTGATTAGTAAGGCTCGAAAGAAAAACAAATGTTTTGGTTAAAGGAGGTGGTGTGAGCTTCTCTTAGTCCGAAGTTGTTTTCAGGAATGCAGGGAAATAGCAGTAACAAGCTGGCTGTCTGGGGGTGCTGGGAGTGCAGAGCGGAGGGCACAGCAGAGTGATAGGCAGGGGAACGTGTGAGAGATGCTGAATTCGGTCAGTGGAATGGGGTTGGGTTTTTTTTTCCCAGAAAATTCCTTTATTCTGGATCTGATCCATCTCTTTTCTCTAGTTCTCAGGCAGGCGCAACTGGAACGCAGCGAGGGACTTGCAGAGATACAGACACTGTTACCCGGTATGGACGGCGTGACGATGCACGTTCTCGTGGCTCTTCCTCGGCGCATGCTAAGCTTAGGAACACTTTCCAGACTCGAGGGCACCCTTTTGTCTCTACCTTGACAGCTCAGAACCTTTAAAGGATTCATGTGTGAGGGGGAAGGGATGCAGCGCGTGTGGGTGCATCAGAAGCAAGCTGTTACTTCCCAAAACGCGTTTCAAGGATTTAGCTTGAAATGTTTAGCAAATGTGAGGGAAAGCAAGCAGTGTTGAAGTGAATGCTGCCTCTTCAAAGATTGCTGCTTGTTGATTTCTTGTTCTCGTCTCCAGGGTTTGATAGAATCGGAAAATGAGGAGGAAGAAGAGATGTGGAACTTGAGCTTTTATAAAAATGAGATTTCTTTTTTGCCCCAGGGTGAGTACCTTGTGCGATGAGTGATGCAACTCTGCTGCGGCGGGTTGAGTTGGTGAAGGAGTAGCTTGATCCACGTGGAACAATTACTAAAAAACCCAAAACAAACAAAACCCACCAAAGAAACCCACAGCACAAAAAACCCCAAGAATTTCAATTTTAAAATGGCCTTGTGCTGTCTGTTCCTTAAGTTTCTCTTTGGTGGCAGAAAACTAAGGTTTTTTGGCTTAGCAGGATGGTTGTCTAGTTAGAGAAACTAATGCCTGTATGTGAATGCCTTGGCTGTGGATAATGAGTGACTGGGTGACTTCAGTTTTCATTTGCTGCCATTTCTTCTTTCCTGACTTTTTCCTTTTCAGGTTTGCCTATTGAAACTCTGCTTGAACGTTGGTGGGACAACTATGAAATTCTGGAAGAAAACCATTCATACATACAGTGGTAAAATGCATTAATATAGTGCCTCTCTTGAGTTGTGCTGCTTTTAAGAGTCAGTTGTATCTGAATTCAGCTTCCCAAAAGGCCAAGAATTACTCTTGAGTGAAACCTGTGTCTACTTTATTTTTATTGAGTTATATGCTTCTGGAAGCAATGCAGTGGAAATCCTGAAGACACAGGTTTCCAGTGTGGCTGTAGCAGTAGATCTCAGTCATGTCTGGTCTTACAGCACACTGCAGAACAAAGTATTAAGGCAAAGAGAGAGATCCAGAAAAGCAGAGTATGTTGTTGTCATTGGCATAGACGATACTTCTGTGGGAGGGAGACAGTACTTCTATTTGTCATATAGTAAACGATTCCCGTGTCTCCTTAAGGATGTGAGGTCTCCACTGCGATATCACGATTTTTGGAGTCTTTTTTTAGTTTTAACAAAATGGGTGCCCTGGGTTTGGATGTCATCTTTGCTCGTCTGGGCTGAAAATTTCTCTCTCTTCAGGCTGTTCCCTTTACGTGAACATGGGATGAACTGGCGTGCCAAACCACTCACGTGTCAAGAAATCCAGGTATTGAAAGCTTTTTGGCTGTTTTTTTTTTTCTTTGAGATTTAAAGGATGTTCGGATTTTCCCTAAATGCCTTATATTTGAAGTAATTTTTTAACATTACTTCCTTGGGGCCCTAGTACACACAGAGCTCACTCAAGCACTGTTAAACATTTGTCTGTCTTGTGTTTGCCAGTAGCTACACCAACAAATGAAATAAATGCTTAGTGGTGTAATCAAGCCTTTTTTATAATTCAGGTGTCACTTAAACTGGTGCAGGTAACCAGGGAGTTCCACCTTGTACTCATTGGTCTGTCTTGTTTTCAGGCCTTTAAGAAGTCCAAGGAGGTTATGCAAAGGCTTATACGTGCTTATCAGCTCATGCTGAGATTTTATGGAATCATTTTGACCAACGAGGAAACTGGAGAACTTAAGAGAGCAGAGAATTGGGCTGAACGATTTCAAAACTTGAACCGGTGAGTCTCAGTTTACACTGCTGGTCATTTACTACAGCCAGGCACTTCTTTTGAGAAGGAAAAAAAGTCAAAAGGCAAGAATATCCTCAGCCCTTGAGGAATTAAAAAAGTTAGCTAGCTAAAGTATTTTTAACTTGGCTCAGCCTCTGACTCTAGGTCATCACACACTCTGTCACTTTAATAAGTGACAAGTGTACTAAGTAAACCAGCTGAGACTGGTAGCCCAGTTGCCTTTGTAGTATTTCGTTAAACTACTAAGTGGGAGTGTTTCCATATGCTTCCCTGATGGCTTAAAGCTGCCTTAATGTATGTAAAATGCTTTGAATCCTTGGTTGAAAAGTACTCTGCAAATCGATCGTTAAGGTTTTTATGTTACGGTAGGTCTTACCATAGGCATAGTAACGACCCTCCTATTTCTAGTACCCTTGATGGTATTAACAAGTTCCCTAAACGGAAACGGCCTCAAGTTGTGCCAGGGGAGATTTAGGTTGGGTGTTAGGAAAGTGTCTTCATGGAAAGGGCTGTCAGGCATTGGAAGGGGCTGCCCAGAGAGGGGGGGGAGTCACCATCCTGGGAGGAATTGAAGAGATGAGGTGATGTGGTGCTGAGGGGCATGGTTTAGGGTGGACTTGGCAGTGCTGGGTTAATCGTTGGACTCGATGATCTTAAAGGTCTTTTTCCACCAAAACAATTCTGTGTTTCTATAAAAGGATTGGGCATACTCACAAAAAAACCAACCTGAAGACTGTCAAACACTGAAAAATAGCCAAGGCTGTGTCTAGCTAAAGGCTCAAAGTGATGAATCTCTGGCAGCAGCCATACGTGCCTGTATTCTTACATGTTTCTACAGGCTTACCCTGCAGGGTCACTTCCAGGGATATTGGGCTGCGTGGACTTGTGTGTCTGACCCAGTGTGGGGGCTGTTATCTACTGGTGGGTGATGCAGGAAGCCAGAACCTTTCCAAGCCATTGAAATGATGAATCCTATCAGCCCAGAAGGGCTAGGAAGGTACTGCTGAAGGCAGGCAGCAGCAGTAGGTGATTTAAAAGTAAGCCCATCTGCACTGCCCAAGTCTTTAACAGATCACAGTCAGCAATGCACAGAACATCTTGTAGATACCCCGGCGGCTTGCAGTGACTTGCAAGAGGTTGACTTTACTTTGCTTACCTGTTGCGTTCAGGTACAGCCACAACAATTTGCGGATTACTCGCATCCTGAAGTGCCTGGGGGAGATGGGATACGAAGACTATCAAGTGCACTTGGTGAAGTTTTTCCTAACAGAAACTCTTGTTAAGGAGACGTTACCAAATGTCAAGAGAAGTGCCTTGGACTACTTTCTGTTCACCATCAGAAGCAAACAGAAGAGAAGAGAATTAGTCCACTATGCTTGGCAACACTTCAAACCTCGAGGCAGCTTCGTGTGGGGGCCACACGACAAACTCCTGAAGTACAGACCACGCTCTGCCAAGACACGGCCGCACCAAAAGGCTGAAGATAAACAGGAAGCACCTGGTAAAATGTGTGACAGCTCTGTGGAAAAGGATCAGAACTGGGCTCTAGAGGAAGAAGAGAAGGCTGGAGATGCTGCAGGCTTGCAGCCTGAAGTGAATGATGAAAATCTAAAAGAGAAGATAAGCGAATGTGTTTTGGAGGGAGGAGGTGGTGACAAAGAGAAAGAGGCTAGGTTTACCCCGCAGGAGGAGAAGGATTTAAACAGCGAGGCTGAAGAAATCCAAGGTACAGGAGATGGTGACAAGGAGAGAGAGGCTTCGTTTACCCAGCAGGAGGAGAAGGATTTAAACAGCAAGGCTGAAGAAATCCAAGGTACAGGAGATGGTGACAATGAGAGAGTTCAAGGTACAGCAGAAAATGATTGCACCAAGGAGAGCAAGAAGAGAAAACTGGATGCAAATATGGCAGATGCAAAAAAGAGTGGACCATCAAAAAGCTCTACTGATATTGAAAACATTTCCCGTAATCTGGGAGAATGTGCAATTGATGCAGAAAATCCTTCCTCAGTTCAACTCTTACAGGCAGAAGAGGACCAGGAAATGCCAAAAGAAGATGATGCAAGCACCAAAGACTCAGCAGCGCCAGAGACCGCTGATGCAGCTGTAAAACGGAGGAAAGTTGATAAAAGACCACCGAGAAGCAAAACATTCAACTTGGCCATAAACCTGAACATGGGGCCCTCTGCCTCTGGAGCCAAGTTAAATCCATCTGTTGCAAACGCTGAAAAAGAAAATGTCAGTGAGAAAAACACAAGTGTGGAAGTGCTAAGTGAGAAGGGTGGTGGTGATGCAAATGGTGGGGCTGAGAGACCCCTGGTTGGTTCCAGGCTCCCTAAGACTGGCTGGACTTCAGTAAGTGATGGTTTGGAGTCAAGTGAAGATCAAGTCACAGCAAGCAGTGATCAGCACCACTGTAACAGCAACGTCCCGGGAGGCAAAAGTGAGGTAGATGGGGTAGAACAACATAAAAAGGCAGAAGATACAAGTGAAAAAGGGCAAGCAGAAGTCGCAGGCAAGAAACAACTTCCAGATGGTCTTGAGCAGAGCATGGCACCCACTTGTCCTGAAGACGACAGTGCTGAGGTTGCAACACAAAAACCTGAAAGCTCTGAGCGTGCAGCAGAACCTGATGAAGAGCAGGTCGCAGCAGAGTGAGACCGCCTCAGCGAGCCCTCGAGCAAGCAGAGATGACACTGCCCTAACTGCTAGGAGCCAGCTTTAATGATTTGGATAGCAGAAGCGCATGGAAGAGTAAACTTCCTTTTGGGCTGATCCAGGCTAGCCCCTGCCTGCCTTTCACTTTTCCACACTCGTTTATCTGTATTAACTTCCTTAAGATCCAGCCCTTGGTTCTCCTCCTGAAAGAGGAGAACTCTAGTTTGGTCATCTTCACGGACAGGCTCTGTCCTGCTCCTGTTTGTTATCTGATGTTCAGGACTGTCTTGGAGCAACGGGGATTTTTGCACTTTGCTTCTGGTACATCCCTTCTTAAAGAGAAGAGGAAAACTGATCTGTTCCCTTGTTTTAACTGGTCACGTATTTATTAAATGTAGGATTTTCAGTGGAAGACAGTGTGACCTAATTTGCCAGGCCTTTCTGTTACCGTGTAACTGCTGTTTGTTATTTTGAAAGGCTGTACCCTCCTAAGAGATTTATTCATGGGAAAGGTGGTTTGCCTGGAAGAGATGACTATATGCATTTCATAGCATGTAAGAGTAGAGTTTCCTCTCCTCCTACAAAGAAAATAGGCTTGACTTTAGTCTGGGATAAAATGCATAGTCCAAATGTACCCCTGACCAATATTAACCTTTGTGTACAGACACTGTTCTCCAGCGTGCAAAGTGCTGAGTAATTTGTTCCCTTTGTCCCCCGCAGAAGTTGCTTTGTAGTGCCTGTTAGAGTTATTCAGAATATGAATAGTCTACTGGTTTCTAAGAGAAAAACCTTCAGGCTTCACATAAAGCTGCCTGGAGCTCTTCTTCCCCTGGTTTTTCCATCACTTTGAGACCCTTGGTAGTCTTCCACAGGTAGTTGTGTCCACTTCTGGTTCAAAGGCTTTCCTTCCTCAGTTGCCAAAATAGAACACCTATTTGTCATTGCGTTTTTTCAGACTCTGCTGTTAATCTGCAGTGGCCTGTGGGCTCTTTTCTGCAGGCCCACTACGTGAAGTCAGATGTGTCAGATTTAACCCGCTTCCTGGCTAGGGCAGGATTGTTTTACCATTAATGACCAGCATGCCAGACAGCGAGGGCATGTCTGGAGACCACTGGGCTTCATGGGTCATTTAATTGAAACTTTAATTGGAGGGGGTACGCTTGTCTGGTTCATTTATTTAGAGCCTCCAAGAAATCACTTTCAGACCTTGCCAGCTATTTGCCTGCCTTAATGTTCCTGACCTCCCTGTTAGCTATTCTGCCTGACTTAGACCGTGTTCAGCCGAGGCTGAAGGAGCGTTACACCATTTAATGCTTTTGCTCCTAGAGATTTACAATGGAAGATCTGTTTCATGAAGCAGAGGAAACTTTCCAACAGCCAGAAGGTCTGGACTTTCTGTTTGCTCAGATTGTTTTACTTTTGGGGTTTGTAGGTGCTGGTTGTTCCGTGTAGGAGATGGCTAGAGGCTTGCCCGCCTTGCCAGAGAGCGGGTGCAGTAGCCTGTGCAATGTTCATGTTTTTCCTCTCTGCTACAGCTTTGGAGAAGCTTCATCTTTCAAGGAATTCGGTCGGTGACTTGCCATCCCAGACTAGGTACTGGTGCAGCATGCCACATACGTGTGTGGGCGTAAAAGTGCAAGCTTAACATCTAGTGTTCATGGTCACACACATGCTGGAAAAAAGGCTTTAATGTTTCTAAAATACTACTTTTTTCTTATGTGCAAATGGATTTAAGTAGCCAGTGAGAATACACTTACCTACAGATATAAATACTTGAAGATGTTGAGTGAAAATTCTTTCATAAAAGATTCATAAGAAGTTGTTAATCATGGCTTTTGTACAGATTTATAGTAACTTTCTTATTTAATGAAGTTTTCATTGTGAATATGTGCTCAGCTGGGGCATAGATCATATCTCTTGTTACCGTGATGTGGGGTTTGTTTTTGTGATTAATGGGATTTCACTGGCAGCCCTAGTCTGGAGTGCTTAAACCACACCGTTCCTTGTCATGGTGGGGTGGAGAGTTTCGGCTGTAGGTGTTTGCAGTGAGTTCACAGGATGTTTTCCAGCACCAAGAGCTGTATTACAGAGTCAATTACGTTAATGTCACCTATTAAAGCATGACTTTAATGCATACTGGTTTCCATTTCTGCTTTTTTTATCTCTGAGGGCAGGACATGACCATGCATCTGCCCCAGCACCACCACACCCAAACAACAGCCGATAGCTCCAGGGCAGTGGGTGCGTGGGGCTGTCCACCACTCCCAAGCACAGGTCTGGTGGGCTCACCAAGAGAAAAACCTGCTGTTTGTTCCATGTGGAGGTGATGCTCAGCCTTCCTCTACCACTGTAAAACATGGCCAGAGAATGTTTGTGGGGAAAAGACATCCCCCCAGACCATGCTGCTTGTTAATGATGTGCTTTCAAATGTTTCGGTGCCCTGTCCTGGCTTTGTGCTGCCTTCCCTGTGTTGTGATGCTCTCGGGCAAACAAGGGCTTGGCTTCTGGCAGCTCTTGGGGCTAGCAGGAAGGAGAGCAGATGCCCAGCCTGCTTTTGGGGGCTCTTCTTTCAGGGCATGAGCACAGGGTGTCTGGTAGCGATTTCTGTAGGTCGCTGTGCCTTCAGCTGCGCTCCTGCTGCCTGGGGACATGGAAGGAGAGGAGGACGGGTCCTCTTGTTCCGTGGGGTGGCTTGAAGGTGAATATTCCCAGGGCTTTTCCCTTGCTCTGGTCATCATCAGGCTCCGCTCGCAGCAGCACTCCAATCCCTGGATTGCTATGAGTAATGTGTGGCCGAGGAGTTTGGAGCTGCTTTGCCTTCTCTCTTGCCATCGGTTGGCCTCAGAGCGAAGGTACAAGCTCTGCACGAAGCAGTTCGTGCGAGTGCACTGCTCGCCCTCTGTGGGGTTTGTGGTGTCCAGTAAAGCATTCCATTTACTTTGAAGCCATCCAAAGACACACGCTCCCTTTCTGCCCCCAGCTGCTTGTTCCACGGGATCTTGTAGGAACTTCATAAATCTTTGAGCCCTTTATCCCTCTGTCAAGGTTGGTGGAATATTGGCTGCTGGGGAGCTGGGCAGGCACACACTGTGCTCGTATAAACCTCCTGGCATAAGGATGCCAAGCTGAAAACCTCGTATTTCAGTTTTAAGCTTTGCTTTTCCACTTCTGCTCTCCACTTGCTAACCGAATGAGCTGTGTCATTTCAGTCCTGATGCATCTTGCCACTGTTCCTCTCCACTTCCAAGCCCTGCTTTGGGTGAAATTGTCTTTAATGGATAAAGGGAAGCATGAAGCTATTTGCAGAAGATGTGATTCTTTGTGAATGTATTTCCACTGGGATCAGCAGACTGGGAACTGTCATCCCGTTCCTTCCCTGCAAATATTTCAAAGGCAATTCTTCTTTATGTTGTTTTTTTTTTTTGTGGCTCTGAAAATGTTTCTCCTTGTTTCTTCCTCCTTGTATCTGTCTGCAATCATCCATTCTCTGGTCAGGATTCATCACTTTCTCAAGAAATCCGTTGGCATTCTTTAGATGTCCCTGAAAATAAAAAAAGGCAGATGTGACTACACCTCGAGCTATTAAACCATCTCGCAAGGCAGTAAGTGCGTTTCTCTGTAGTGCATCTCGCACTGTTAGAGGTGTATGAATTTCTCTAGTGAAGTTAGGCAGCCTCAGGCACTGAGTAACTCTCACTCTGGATTGCTTTGAGGTGGTGATGGGCTTTGAGAAATGGTCCGTGTGAGACGTAAGGAACATCCTTGTATCTCCAGCTGGAGCAGCCGAATTGTGCTCCCGCGGCCTGTCCACGAGTCTGTCCCTTCCTTAGGCTCCCTGTTTGCTCAAGGCTGGGGCTGCCCAGTGGGGTGTGAATGAGAGCTTTTCCGACTGCTGTTCCCCCTCCTTCTCCCACCTCCTTCCGAAACCTCCCCTCTCCTCCCAGCTCAGCCCCTCTTGCCTGAGCTGGAGCCGCAGGTTTATCTGGAGGCGAGGAGCCTCTCCTTTGTAAGCTGAGACCCAGGAGGAGGAGGAGGGATCTGCTGGACCCCGAAGGAGAAACAGTCCAGCTGCCCAGGAGGAACGAAGAGGCAGAGCCTGGGCACCATGGCTGGATTCTCCGCTCTTGGGCTTCTCTGCCTGAGTCAGCTCTTAGCCACAGCATCAGCTCAGGTAAGAAGCTTTATGTCTTTTGCTCAAGAAATAAGTCCATACGGGAAAAAGATCGGGGTCTGTGTGTTATACCTGAAATGTGGCAACAGGCAGGTGGTTCGTCTGAAGGTGGTTAGAAATGCGTGTGCTGCTTGTGCTGTTCGGAGAGCCGAGCACCTGGGTTTGTACCTGCGTGCAGGCTCTTGGATCGTGTCCTGCATAGAAACTGCTGCTTTATATTTTCTGTTAAAGTTCTGCCTGTGTTGTCTGTTCAGGACTGCAGTTAGGAAAGAGAAAGCCTTGGGAAAAAGGAGACCTGTTGATGCAAGAGAAACCGTTTTCTCTTACAGTGAAGTAAGGGGTTGCCAACGAGACTGATCTGTTCGGGTCTTCACCTGAATCAGAATTTCTTATTCCTTCCCTCAGTCAATTTTCAGATTTTACACTTAGAGCGTATTTAAGCCTTGTTCGCTTCAGATGTGAAGCTATATTAAACTTCCCTCTATGGTGTTAATATTACTGCCTGGGGAAGTAACTCCTCGGTGAGGTTTTTCATTGTGTTAGCGAGGAATTTTTGCAGTCTGGCTTGGGAGTTCAGAGCTGCCCTCATCTGCTGCGAGCAGAGCTGCTTCTACAATGAAACCTTTGTTCACTGAAGCTACAGCAAGTTGCTCTCTGGAGCCCTCTCCATACAGAAGTCATTTACTGGACCTTTCTTAGCTTCCCCCCTACCTCAGCCCTCTGCCAAAATACCAAATTTTCAAGTGGCCTCCTGTTTAGAGAGGAGTTTTTCCCTTTCTCCTGTCTTCAGCAGTGTCTGCCTGCCTCTTCTGTTATCCCATCAGACTGGGACTATAAAGTAATTTTTAATGCCAAGCGCTTGGCACCTATTTCCCATGGGCGTTGCATTTCCTTCTCTCCCAAAATGAAACGTGCCTGTAGGCAGTGAGAACCATTTCCTACTCAGCCAAGGCCATTTGCTGCCCAGTGGCCAGCTTTGATTCCCAGCGTAAGCCACCAGTTAAGCGAGCTGGGAGCCCTGAGGATGTGCTCAGTCAAAAGGGTTTTCCAAAGAGCTTTGCACCTATCCTGAGCTCCTCTGAGTCCACCCAGGATGGCAGGGGGCCCTGAGGGATGAACGGTTAATGCAGGTTTAGGGTTCAGCTGTAGGACTTGGCTGTTGCTTTCTGATTTAGCCCATATGTTTCTCCTGATCCAAAAATAAACTTCTCTCTCTCTTTCCCCTCATCCCTTCAGAGAGTAGGACCACAAGGCCCTCCTGGACCACGAGGACCCCCTGGACCATCTGGCAAGGACGGCATAGATGTGAGTGACGTATGGCAGAGGGAGGGCGAGGGTGGAGCAGAGGCAGAGCCAACTGAGCAGAGAAGCTGCTCTTGCTCTCCAGAGCCCCAGCCTTTGGGCCATCCTTGGGAGGTGGATGGACCTGGAGAACCAGCCTCCTCACAGGAGAGCGTCTTCTGCAAGAGCTGGAACAGCGAGCGGAGGTGCTGAGTGGCCTCAGGTTCTTTGCAGGATCGATCCACTGTCTCGAGAGACAGTTCAGGACAGAGATAGGGTTTCGTGACCCCAAAGCAAAGCAGAATATTTCCCTTTTGGTGTCTAGAGAGAAGGGGGAACGTAATATGGATGAGTGCATGGGTACGGTGTGTGTTGGGGTCACTGCATGTTCTGTAGTTCAGAGGGAGGTTTACGTGACATTTCAGGGCATCCATGTTTCTAGAGAAGCCCCAGGAAACTGAAATATGCAGCGCTGGACATTGCTCTGACATTGTTTTTTAATTTCGGCGTTGTTGGTATGGCTATCCCTGACTTGCATTGGCACTGAGAGGTCAGACTCTGGCTCGTGTGTTTCCAGACATGAATTTCATTCAGTGGTACAAAAGCAAATGCAGTGGGCACCCATTATTTCAGCAGGCCTTTATTTCAGTTCCTCATACGTACCCCTCCTGCAGAGGTAGAAGACTCTTCCACAGGACTTACTGGAGGAGAAAAACTTGTCCTATTACTTTTAATCGATTCTTCCATAGAAATGAAAAATTTTGCTTCTCCATCTCTTGGATAAGGACTGAATTGTGCCTGTAATTGGCAGTGGATAAAAGGGGCATCAGCTGGACCTTCAACAAGACCACATTAAATGCAAAAGGCTGGCTTCCCACTTTGATACTCAGTGTGAGTAGTGCTTGTCTCTCTAAGCTGCTTATGGAGTAACACAGGGGTTTTTAAAGCTTGTCTGAAGTAAGTTTATTGGAATTAGGCCTTGAAAAAATCTATTCATTCCATGCAGGTCATTTTCTTTTGGATAAGAAGGTAAAAAAAAAGATGTATGAGTTCCCTGGTATACGGTGAACAAGGAGGTTTTTTGTCTGCAGTGGTGAGCTTTCACAGTGGCTCTGTGAGCCAGGCTGCTCTGAAGAGAGAACCTCATTGATTCAGAGCTCGTCCCTCTGAAGCGTCCTTCGGCTAACGGAGCCGTTGTACGGAAAATCCCACTCTGGTTTTGTAGCGTGAAACGTAGCTGGTACCTCGATGGTTTCTCTCTGCTGTTTTTCATGGTGATGAAAGGCCAAAGGGGATGCTCTGGAAGGGGCAAGGGATGTGCATCCCACTCGCAGCAGTGAGCCTGTGCGGCCACTGCCGCCTCCATCCCTGTGGCCAGCGGGCTGCAGGAGAGGGTGGCTGCGTTGCTGTACAGAGGGAAAAAGAAAAATCTGGGAGGGATGAAGCCCTTCAGACATCAAGTCGTAACCAGCTTCTGCATATAGGCAGTCGGAAAGAAACAAATCCCTGTAATGGTGCCGTCCTGCTTTTATAGGATATTTTATACCTTAATTCTGGAATAGCATCAGGATCACTCTGATTGCTCTTGGAAACCAGAGCCTGGGGAGGTGTTGGTCACGTGAACCTACACCCTTTTATCAACTGCTAAAAGCTTTGGAAGGCTCCTTGTGGGACAGGTCCAAACAACATCATCTAATTAACATGAAGATCTTAGTCCGAGTAAATCAGGTGGCTGAGTAAAGTATTTAAGGTGCTAAGTCTTGCAGTCCCAGCTTGAGGCTGGAGTTTTGGCTACACAGGAATAGTTTCCCATTCCCTACATCCCTCCCACGGATATAGGTTGTCAGGTTCCCCGTTTGCATGAGATGGTCCAGCTGCTTGGGGACAGACTCCAGTATGGTTTCTGCGATTCAACGGGACATGTAGGCTTTTAAGGAATTGCACAGGAAAAGAGATTCGAAGCTGGGGCTGGTGTTGAGCACAGTCATACAGCCTTCCAGTTTAAGGGCTATTGTTTTTCTGGCAATACCCTCCAAAAAATTATAGCCTATAAAATCAATCACTGCTCTGTATTTCATAGCCCTGCATGGAGAGGATCGTGTGGAGCCCACGTGGCAGTGTCCAAATCTACCGCTGCAAAGAAGGAACCCTTCTTTTGTTTTCTTTAATAATGTGGGTTTTTTTAAAAAATAAAGAGCACAATCAGAACTTTTCTGAACCATATCTTTGCAAATTTCCTGACCTCTGTAAGCCGCTCCAGCTGGGTCACCTTCACAGATGGCTTCGGATGAATGCGCTGTGGGAAGAGTCGCTGAACGGCCTTTGAGCTGGATGCGTGCTGCCGCGGTGCTCAGCAGTCCCTTAGCGTCGGCCATGAGCCGTGAACGATGCAGAACGTACAGCTGAATTATTCAGGAGATCTCCGAACAAACCTCGGATGAACCCCATAAGCACCATTTCTAGAAGCTCCTGCTTTCATTCAAAGTGGGAGCTGTAACATTAAGTCCCTCTGAAATATTTTGTAATCATAGCCTTTAACAAGCTTCACGTTTCATACTCAGTAACAAGCAAAATCTCTCCTTCCCAAGAATAGAAACAGCATATTATGATGGAAAGAATTAGTGACAAGTTCCTGTGAATTATTTCTGGGGATGTAATTCCCCAAATTGCTAATAAGCAATTGTCACTTTTCAAAAATCAAGCTTTTTCAACCCCCCTCACCACCACCACTTTTCATCTCCTGGCTTGACTTGCTAAGAAAGGGTAAACTTCCTTCCCTCTTGGGTAGCACCAGGAGAGCATTTCCTTTTGCTGACAGCCCTTACCTCTAATTCCCGGTGATCTGGCATTAGGGATGGAAACACTGATTAGGCTTTTAATGCAGCTGACTGAAGTTCTGGTGCTCCTGCAGAGTCCCGCAGGGGTCTGCGATGGCAGGGCCAAGGTTTACAATGGTCCCAAACAGCCTTTGCTGATGCTGTGACCTTGCTGTATGGATTGCCATCACAAGGGCAAGAAAAAAATGCAAGGGGCTGGCGATCTCAAGCGATGGAGGAGGGAGAAAACCACCTCTGCTGCCATTTCTAGCTGCCTTTTCAAACCATTCATTGCCAAAGAACCGCTCCTTTCATTTCCTTGGCAGGGGACTTTCCCCACCTATGATAACGATAACTATTTATGGAAAATCTGTGGGCAAAGGAGTTGCTTCAGCAACACAGAGCATAAAGATCCCTCTGTTCGATGACCCTCTGGTCTGTGCCTTGATGGGTCACCAATGCGGTGCATAAATCCTCGCCTGAGCGAATCAAGGCAGCCAGTCTTTTAAAGATTTGCCCACAGAATTCACAGTTGCCGACACAGTAAATATAGAAACATGGTAGAAATTCCACAGCTTAGCTTACTGCCTTCTAACTCCTAATTATCAGGCCCACGGTGGGGATGGTGTTATTTCTAGCCTTGCTCTGCTAATAACCACCCTTTTTCCATATAGATTTTCTTTTTCCAGGGGGTCAGCATGCCCCTCGCCCTCTGCTCGCCCACCATACCTGAGCCTCTCACAATATTTAGTGTGCTTATCCGAAAGCCAGGAGGGGAGGGTACCATCCAGACATCGGGAACTGGGACACAAAGTGGGTTTTTTTCTGTGGGATGAGATGGGAAACCAAGCTCGAGTCAAGCTCCTGCCGTCCACAAATGATTGCCTCTTTTGGGGGCTAATAATGAAACACAGATATCTTGCCTGGGGTCCATGCAAGCTTCTGAATGATGTTAAAGCCAGCTGAGCTAGGAGTGATTCAAAGACTTTTAAAATATTAAAAAATAGCATCAGCTTTGTAAGACTGAGGGTGTTAAATCTTGGAGTAGGCGTGGAGGGAGACTTGAGCGCTGGCAGTCGGGAACACCATTGTTGCACGAAGTCAACAGGAGGTTCAGCACTAACACTGATGTCTTTTCTCTTTCATTTAGGGGGAGCCGGGTGCCCCTGGCTTGCCAGGCCCACCAGTAAGTATTTTCTGGTTGACACTGACTTGCTCAGCCTTTTGAGAGGGACACGGTGTAGGAGCCAAGACTTACTGCCTCACTTTCCTCTTGATCTGCAGCGGAATCCCCATGAGGGGTGCACAGGAGTGGAGGTGTTCAGCACCGGTCCTGGAGACAAAGACATTCTCCTCCTTCATTGCTAGGGGAGGATACATGTGAAATAAAGCTCACCCCTCACCAGTATAACAGAACTGGCACCAAGCCACATATGTGTGGTTATTTTTGGCACTGGTCTGAGTCTGGCTCAGCTCCTCAGTCTGCCAAGGGGTGCTTAAAATCATTCCAGGTGGCACAACTCTTTGCTTTTAGCCACTTACCCCAACCCTTTCTACCCTCTACTAGGAACAGTTTATAAGTAACTGTATGGGGAACTGAGCCAAAGCACTGAAATGAATTTAGGATTTGGATAAGGATTTATGGCAAGTTTCATCTCTCTGCAGGGATTCTTCCATGTTGCCTGGTATAAGATTAACACATCAACAAATGAACTTCCGTCTTGTAGCCCGTATCAACACATGCTGCATTTCCCTTTTTACTATGTTAAAAGCAATTGCCTCTTTATCTGGTTTAGGGGCCAAAAGGTGCACCAGGGAAGCCTGGAGCTGCTGGTGAAGCCGGATTGCCTGGCCTTCCTGGAGTGGATGTGAGTATTTTGTCATCTTCCCTTAGATCTTATACATTTCACATAAACATGGGTGTTTTCCTGAAGAGTCTCATCAGCTTTCTCTGTGTCTACTGGAGAAGCGAAGTGGGTCCTGGATCTGTATGTACATCTTGCATATTAGCAGAAATTTTAAGAGTTGAAAGCATCTCTTGATTGAATTAAGGAGTGTGAGAACAGTTTTGAGATGCATAACTGATAGGACAGCACTCTCACAGTGAAACGTTGCAGTTCTGCAGTGCAGCACGGGGCAAGCCTGCAGAAACAGGCACCCACTGACATTTCTTTAGCAAACCCACTGAGCCTCAATTCAGAAATCCAGTTGCACCTATTAGCTGAGGCTTGCTGGTCACGGGCCTGGGGTTTGCTCTGCACCAGGTGAGTGCACACAATCATTTTTTCCCAGCTTACCAACGTACTGCCCTGGGAGCGGAGTGTGGGTAAGGTTTTAGCCAGCACATTTTCTCCTGCACAAGGTGAGGAAGCATCTAGTCAGCTTCCACAGCTAAGCTGCAACTCTGTAAACAGCAGCAACAAGACTATTTGGTGGTGTTCATTCACACTTATGATGCATAGAGAACAGTACTGGTAATTTGTTTCTGGTCCTTTCCTTTGTGATTAATTACTGAGAGAAATAAAATGACAGCTAGACATCCTAGCGGTTTGTGTTGGTCACAGGGACTTCCTATAGCTTATTATTGCATTTCTCTCTTTTCACACTTACCTTTTTTTACAGGGTTTAACAGGAACCGACGGCCCACCTGGCCCAAATGGGCCTCCAGGAGACCGTGTGAGTACCCCATGAGATCCTAAATCCCTTTAAATGAACGTTGTCACTGATTGTATTGATGATTTCTCATTCCTTTGTAAATTGGTGGTACTGGGTGTTGATTACGATGGCTTATTTATCTGTAAACCCTTGCAGAATACTTGGACCCTTGAAATGAAGCTCTAGATGGCTTTTCATTAGGCAGGACAGGAGATCCATTTTTCTTTCACGTGGCTGCGAAAGGGCTTGGATAGCCTCAGTGGTGGGAGTGCCAGCGCAGAATAGCACTGGTGATACTTTTGAGTGTCAAAGAAGTTCCTCGAAGCAGTCAATAGACTTAATTACAAAGTTTATCAAAGTGAAGCTATTTTGGCCTTTTTTTTTTTGCAGTCTGAGTACGGAGCTCTGCTATGTTTATAATTACTGCTACTATGTGTTAACTGTTTAAACTTTTGCCTTTTGTTAATTCTGGGGCTGTCCATATGGTTGACATTATTAGTTGCTTTGGCTTACAGTTCCCCAGCCATTGTAGCAAGAAATAAGAGTTTTTCTGACTTCCTGCATATTGCAACTCTAAGGGGCACCACAGGGATAGAGAAATGACTGCCTGAGATGTTACAGATGCACTTCAGATCATCTACAATGGGACCAGGAAGGCACTTAGGCCTCCTTATGACATGAAGAACTAAACATGAATGAGCCGTTCGGCACAGGTTTTTATCCAGCGTGGCTATTTTTCTGTCTCCCAGCATAGGAAGATAAGACTTGTATCCATAGCTGGTTAATTGGTCTCCTGAACTCAGGGCTACAGTGATGGGCTGTACACACACCACAGAGGTTAAAAAAGGGTCAATATATCTCAGTAATCCATTTGTTGCCCCAAGGAGTTACCCAAAGCTCAAAATTATTTGTCTCATTTAGTTAAAGGGATGAGTGACAGCCATGTGTCCCTGATAACGCTTTTCTTCCTTTCCCACGTGCAAGGCAAAGTTTGCTTGGCCACTGGGAAAGGTAAGTGGCAGGACCAAGCACCTTGGTCACAGCTCCAAGCCTCCGTCCATTGCCACTGCACTAAAAACCCTCTCCTTTGCTTTACCTCGTGCCCATCTTTCTCCCCGGAGGTCCAGGCCTGCAGAACCCTGACCACTCTCAGACAACCTCTGGCAAGAGTCCAGCACCTCTGGGAACTGATTTTTAAAATAGAAAAGTTCAGGACCACACACAGAAGACTCTGAGCAGTTTTGTGCCCCTGTTTGAGGTTCGGTGGTATTATTTGCCCATGCCCACTGGAGCACACAAGCTCCTAGTTTGCAGGGTAATGGAGAAGATCATTTCTGGGCACAAGACCTTTCTCTTCAGCTGGTTAGTAGAAGCCCACAAACTCCGTTTTGGCACAGTTGCCGTAACTATATGCTCTGATTTGCCGTGCTTTCCCATGTCTTGTAACTCAAACTGTCAGCATGGGGCAAACCTGGGACCTGTTGCCCTTTATGGGAGCTTTTCGAGGTCAGTGGTCCATCTGGAAAATTGTTTTAATTGGTCTAATAAAAGCCTGGAAGAAAGGAAAAACCTGTAAATCTCTAGCAGTCTGAAAGGACAGCATTGTTATCCTGACTTACTTTCTTTTGCCCAACCTGAAGAACATATTTCAGTCTCCCAGGATTCATTGAAATAAGCAGGTGACTACTTCCCATTGGGGAATTGAATTCACACTTAACAGTATGGCTTCCACTGAATGAGCATGGTTTTCTGGACTGGAGTGTCTGGGAGTGGTGTTCAACATATGGAATTGGGCTTGTGGAAGACAGTGTTTAGTCATACATTACTGCTAAACGTGTTTTCCTCTGTTAAGTCACACTTCATCCATCAGTCCAACCGTGATTCATGGCTAGCCAGGGACAGAGTAACGTGAAGACAGCACACCTAAACGTTTTTTACCTAAATACTCCTATTGCTATCACCATCCACTGTTTTTTCTCATGGTTCTGCTTACAGACTGATTAGATCAAACCTCCTTGTTTTTTCAATTAAAGAAATCCTTTAGTTTTAGCCAGGAATGAGCTGGGTTCTGACCTCAGTGCTAAGATACTGGTGTCCTTCATTGGAAAGTTTCCAAAGGCCATTTTGAAGCTGGGCATCTTACACTATAGGCGAGGAGGAAAACATAATTCTTCATATTTATTTATGAACGTCATATTAATCAAGTATTTTCTATGCTCTGTAGTTGTATATTCATGGAGTATATTACTTTAAAGTGAAAAATTATGGTGAGATTGTTTTCTAATCAAAAGAGAAAGAACATTGTTACCAGGAGAATGAGTTGAGTCAGACAGTGTTTTTAAAATCAAGGTGTAGAGTAGAGTCTCTGCTTTAAAATTAATGGAGTCATATCAGCTTGCTCGGGGACTTGATGGTCTTTTACTGCACCAGGAATGTTTGCTGCTGCATGCTGCACCCTACACCCTCAAAGACAGCAAAATTAAGGAGAGTGAAGTGCAAAAGCTTGGCACTTTGGGTACTTTGCCAACCTTTTGGGATGTTGGCCAAAGCAGAAAGGGGCTGTGCTGCTGGTTTCAGTGGGGGCAGGACTAGGGTGTAAGTCAGTAGGAGCCGGGAAGTCAATTTGTTCTTTACAGGAGGAGATCCTAGCTTGTCCCTTACAACCATCAGTAGCTGTAAGGACTTCAGCGTAAAGATAAAAGAAAGAAGAAGAAAAAGCAGAACAACCTGCAGCAAGAGGAATGAATGAGCTGACATTTGCAACTGAGTTGATTTTTATTGGATTACAGTCCTTCCCTCACAAGACTGCTCTTAATGAGGCCTTGGGTCCTCATTATCTTTCTCTTTAAGTTAACAAGGGAAAGTATTTCTAATCTCATTTAGGACGCAGAACATGAGGAAAGGGCTGGAGTTGTCCCTGGGATCACAATAAGCAGTAGCGTGTTGGGATGTTTTCCAGGTCTGCCCATCTGCCTTTTTCTCCTGGCCCTGGGGGTAGATACCATTTAATTCCAGCTCAGGACATCGTTCTCAGATGTTGCTGCGCAGCACTTTGAGAATGTTTGGAAAACAGGTTTGGGCAGTCGGGCTGGCGAGAGGCTGAGGAAGCCTCATGCTGTTATCACTCTTCGTCCCCTGCGCAAGGAGATGAGGGTTTGCTGGTGCTCGTTTAACACGGTCCATAATAACAGCATGGTTTGCTCTGCCTTTATCAGAGAGCATCGTCAGCAGAGAACAACACAAATGTAAAAGAGCTGTCTGCGTCAGGGCCTTGGGAACGACGTGGCTGTTCTGCAGCTCCCGAGTGTCAGTGCAGCGCAGAGACACTCGCTGCCAGGGCTGCCTCCCTGCTGCTGAGCACATTGTTATTTTATTTGTCATTCACCCCAAATTACACTGGCACTGCCGCACCCCCGCTCCTTTATTTTTTATTTTTCCTGGGGTTTTTTGCCTCTGCTTCTCCTTTCCCCATTCAGCTGGAGCTGGTTTTGGAGGAGGCTCTCAGACCCAAGAGCATCAGCAATGCACACTCGCCATGCCTGGGAGATACCTGAACAGCTGTTGGCCAAGGTCAACACGCTGCACTGGTGTTTTCTTTTTTCATTTTTCTATTTCCGTTCACTTCCTGGTTTAGAATTACAACCTATAATTAATTTTACGGTCTACCAGCCAACGTTGGCATCTTTGCAATGCAACAAAGGGATTAAGAAGGTCATTCCTGTTTACTATCTTTCCTTAAGCAGGAACATAACAACTTCAAGGATGCCTTCATTCTAGTCTAAGATCGCCAAACTCTAGTCAGGCTTAAGAGTAAGAATGCAAACTGGGGAAAGGAGATTGGGGATTTGCCAAGGAAAGCCAGTGAAGAGGCAGAAGCTGCCAAATCTTTGTGTTTGCTTGGAGGGAAAATGTATGAATTAATAAAATTCACTAGATCGAGTCCAAATCTTCTAAATAGTTTCAGATAATATAGTCAGTGGATCTACAATATGAATGTGTTATGAGAATATTTCAAATGGGTGAAATTAAAATGTGAACATTTAGATATTCGTGGGGACTAACCTGAGGCCAGCTGTGACTTGCAGAAGGTCTATTTCATCCTGTAGGTTTTATTCTCTACTCTCACGTTTTAATCTATGCTCTCTTGACCTGCGAATGGTAAAGAAAGTTGCTGGGCTCAGTTCTGAACATCCATCCCTACTACCTTAAAATGTTCCTTAATCAAGTAATTAATCGGGAATGACAGAGTCATTATCCGTGAGTTTCTGTCTTTATATTTGTGAATTCAGGTGAGCATCTCCAGTTGGGTGCTCTTTCTGTAAGGCACTGCTGGAGTTCTCAAACGAAAACTGGAGTCCAGGAGAGCAGGCGTTGGTGTCTTCCCCATGGAGGTTTCTGGTTTATCCCTGCTGATTTGCACTCTGTTTTATCCCTGCAGGGTGCATTAGGACCTGCCGGGCCACCTGGATCAGCTGTAAGTGCCTCCTAGACCTGCCTTATGTACAGATGGTGGGTGGTACTATGCCAAAACCATCACCAAGACAAGGTGGGAAGGCTTGTATCCCAAACAAAGGGATCAAAGCCTGAATGAGTGAAAAAAGATGTTCAAAGTGTTTTAAATATCTGTGTATGACTTGTTCTGGTAACACAGGGCGTGTTCTTGGTCTCAGAAATATGTTAAAATCGAGCCAGCTTGGGGTGAAGACTAGCGTATCTAATGCTATCAAAATTATTAGACATTAGATAAAGAGGAAAAGTAGATAAACTGGAATGTTGTCTTCATAAATGTCTGTGTCCCACTGTCATGTCACCATATGTGGCTTTACTCAGACATCTCGTAGGTAACAGTGCTGTAAAGGGAATACAAATTACTGGAGGCAACAAAAGGATTCATTAAGACTCCAGCTCTGATTGCAAATTACAATAATTGAGGACAGAGGAATGCTAAGGAAATTTAAAAGGAAAAAAAAAAGGCAGTATTTTCTGAGTTATACTGTGCTTCCTGTGTGTTCCGTTTTTAAGTGATCTTTTACTGTTTTAAATGTTGTTTCCAGGGCAAAGGACTACCAGGACCTCCAGTAAGTAATGAGGCTCCTTCAAAAAATGAGGTTTAAATTATTACACAGGCTTTATTGGATACTCTTGAGTGTTATGAACCCACCCCAGGCCTTGGGTCCCTCTCCTGTGCTGGGCAGAGGGATGTGGTGTCCTGCAGGTCAGCAGCCTTGTGGGTGGAGATTCTGTGCTCGCCCCCACCCCAGGGAAGCTGGCACTGATGTAAATTCAAGGCACAGCAGCTTTGGAATTGCTGGAAGCGACCAGTTCTGGGGCAGCTTTTGTCTGGGGGGTTCCTGGGGCACTTCAGAGCTGCCGTGTGTCAGAGGGGATGCAGATGGTGGCAGCATGCGATGGTGGGCAAGTGTGCTCCATGGGATGGTAGTGACAGGACAAGGGGTAACGGGTTTAAATGGAAAGAGGGAGGTTGAGAGTGGACATCAGGAAGGAATTCTTCCCGCAGAGGGTGGGGAGGCACTGGGACAGGTTGCCCAGAGAAGCTGTGGATGCCCCATCCCTGGGAGTGTCCAAGGCCAGGCTGGATGAGGCTTGGAGCAACCTGGTCTAGTGGAAGGTGTCCCTGCCCATGGCAGGGGGTGGGACTGGGTGGGCTTTGAGGTCCCTTCCAGCCCAAACTGTTCTGTGATTCTGTGAAGGTGGAGCAAAAAGAGAGATGTGTGTTGGTAAACTGATTGGGCGCAGCTCCTCGGGGAGGGGACCTTAGACAGATGAGTACAGCCAGCCCGACTGTTTGCCCTGGGTGTTGGCAGCTGTGTGAGTTTGCCACAGATGATGATGATCTGATCATCATTCTCTCTGATCAACAGGGGCCTCCCGGACCCAGTGGGCTCCCAGGTGGAAATGGATTTCGGGGTCCTCCTGTGAGTTTCTCCTACCATTTGTTCCTCATTTACTGAACGTGCCGCAGCATGATGTTCATTTCTGGTGTCTTGGCCCATTCTGGAAGCGTGATGTGCGGGGCCCTCCAAGCTCTACAGATGCCCATGGGCATTTGTATCCTGTTCCTTGTATCCTCGTACTTAGGGTCAGCCCAGTCACCCAGCGCAGTGCCAAAGGTGTGCAACTGCTTTCAGCCCGATCTTCCTTTACCAGCTATGAGTAAGGTCAAAAGAGCAGAGGGCAGTTACCAGCTGGCATGTTACTTGCAGCATCCTCAGAAAAAGCTACTGAACAGAATGGGTCTGATCTGAGGGAGCCCATTCTGCAGAAGTAGCATTGTTTTTGGGTGCTCACAGCTCTGCTGGAGAGGTACAGAGCCAGTGGAAGCAGGGGTGTAGGCGCAGGGATATGTTCTTATGTCCCAATATCTATACTTTTATATGCATCTGCTGTTCTCTTTGCAGTCATAGAAGCCTCCACAGAAAGAAAGGTGCATTTTAGTCCCATTAGAGATATCTTGCCCCACATTCACAAATATGCAGTGGTATTTGGTAGCCATCCTTCCTCTCCCTTTGCATTTTCATTTAAATGACTAAGAAGGGGAATTCTTACAATCTTTCACTCTTTTTTTAGGGACCTTTTGGTTTGCCAGGATTCCCAGGGCCTCCTGGACCACCTGGACCTCCTGTAAGTTGAGACTTGCAAATAAATGTAAGAAAATTCCTAGGAGAAACTCCAGAACTTTCTTCTTGCTGCCAGAACATGCATGTTTTATTTGGTGCCAGTGCCTTGAGCGCTCCCTTTCCGGGCTAAGTGTCAGCAGGCCGTTAACACCGTGCCCCAAGGAGAGCAGTGATTTCTCGCTGGCTGCGCTTCGGTGTGTTGATTATCTCCTGTTTATTATTTGTGCTGCCTGGGTGGAGGAACCCAACGGCATCCAGGCTTCATGGTGTAGACAGGTCGCAGGGTGGGCTTTCTGTTCTCTCCAGGTTTGTAGGATCATGATGTAGGGCCAACAAGGGAGGCTTGAGACCAACAAGTCTCTGTTTTGGGTTTGCTGCAGTGTCTCTGGAGGGTGGGAGGGATAGGGAGGTCCTTCCCAAGGAACTTCCCTGGCCCGAAGGAGAGCCCAGGCACAGCTGCTCTTCTCAGGTTGCTGCCTTCATCACTTCTGATGAAGGGGAAGGCTCAAGGCTCTTCCCCAGGCTCATTTGTGCATCTCTAGAAGATAATTACAGCCTTGACATATGGGTCAGGACTGGTGCTGCTCGTGATGCAGGGCTCAGGGGCTGCATTTTACGCTGTGGGGCTGGCTATCTGCCTCGTGCTGGTCCAACTGAGCCAGGTCTGTAACGCGAATTTTCTAGAAGTTGTATTTCCTCCTGGAGCTTGTCTTGATGCATTATTTAAAAGGCCACATGTCATGAATTGCAGGGTCTTCCAGGCACTCTTCCCGATGGCGGTGGGGACCTTCAGGTAGGTTTTCCTTTATGTAGCATGTAAATATGTTTTTGGTTTAATCCCTGGTGTGACTGGCATACGTGGGCGACTCTCAGACCAGTTAACATCCAACGTTCACACCCCACAGACCTATTGCAGAATGCCTGAGTGTTGCATGTGTGTCCCGTGACTGAAATGTTCTTTCAAGGAAGTAGATATCCTAGTGCTCGGGTGTTTTTTCCCTTGATCTTTGCTTTCCAAAATGCAGGCTCTGCATACATTTTTCTTTTTGTCATTTACAAAACAACCTTAGCATTTGGTGAATGACAACAGCTTTTCATGCATCTGTTTCCAGTCCTGCTTTGCAAGAGAAAAGGTCGTGTGTGTTGCGCTGTTTATTGCCATGGATGGTGGGATCGGGTTCCTATGGGCATATGCTTTGTTAGGCTTCCTTCCTTAGGAGAAAGTCTTGATTCCTTTCTTTCAAGGGAAAGAAAGGAGCGTTGAGTCCGTGAAGGATGGAAGTGACATTTCCAGATTTTGCAGCTGCTGTTGTGACAGCGTCTTTGGTTTTCTAATTGGTGTGCCCCGAAAAAGCTCCGAGTCGGTTTAGACTGCCTTATGGCAAGTCACGCGGAAGTTAATAGAAAACGGTGCTATTTCTGCGATTTTAATTTAAGTTACCTGGTGGAATATACTAGAAAATTAAATTCCTGCTACAGAGGTGTCACCTGAGGTTTTATTAAAAGACAAAAAGCCCCAAACAAATGAAACAAAGGCTGCAGAAGAAAATCTTGGTCCCTAGTTTAGAGTATGGCCTTTTAAACCCTATTAAATTTCCATGCATGCTCTGATTTGTTCCCAGTCAAACTAGAGGTCCCACCAGGGGCTCACCCTCCCCTAGACATCTGCAGATACCAGCTTATTGGTATTTGGGTTAATTTTTTTATAGGTCCCCTTCTGATAAATTCTGCTTGTCCTTGGTTCACTGAGGTGAGTCTAGTGGAAATCAGTAGGGGTCAATGAATGCGTAGAATTAAATATGTTCATAATTATTTACAAGATACCTGTCCAGCTTCTCCAGGGAACTGTGGTGCTCCAATGTTTTGGACTGTGGACCACTGTCAGCCTTCGGAATTTTTCAGAGTCCATGCAGGCACAGTGTGAAGCAGACCGTAACTCACTATTCTGTGGGTTGTTGGGGGCCTGAGGACCTGTTCAGGACCTCCTGCCGTAGGGAACTGCTGGTGAATACATTATGCTATGAATGGATTGGATTTAGAGCCAAAACCCACATGACCTTTTCTCCTCTCCCTACGAAAGAAACCCACTGCCCAGGATGTTCTGTGTGTCCTTGATAAACCAAAGCCTGTTTCTGCTCTTGCAGTGCCCAGCTCTGTGCCCACCGGGTCCCCCAGGTCCCCCAGGGATGCCAGGGTTCAAGGTAAGAAAACTACCACCTGCAGATAGAAGGGTCTGTCTCCCAGAATAAATACCACTAGGAACCCCTGGGGTTAACCTGTTTTCTGTACAGCACACGTCTCCTATAGGCTCCTCACCTCTCCAAACCAGCCGTGCACTTGCCTGGGATTTCACTGTTGACACAGAAATCCAACACAGCCAAATCTGAGACAAGAGGAGGATGAAAGGCCGGATCCTGCCCTCTTTGCATGCTGTTCCCACTCCCGCAGCAATAGCTGCTCCTCCACTGAGCTCAGTCCTGCAAAGAGCCAGCAAAGGGTGTGAGCGCTCCCTTCACCTGCACCAAGCAGCTTTGCATCCTTCAAGTACCCACCTGCGCCTACGGGCACCTGTGTGGCTCCATCCCTTGCAGGATTGTAGTCTTTGACAGATGGAAGGTTGAACTACTGCCATACAAACGAAATTTAACCCTTCACAAAGATGAAAACACCGTGCAGGTGATGAACAGGAGCAAGCGGAGAGCAGCGGTGCAGGGCTGCCTCTGGAACGGTGTGCTGCCTTCTCAAGCTGCAGAGAGCTGTAAAAACCTCACCAGTTCTTAAATTGTGCTCACAGAGATACATATTTTACTGCACGAAGACATAACTTACATGATTAAATACAATTTAATTACCATTTTATACCCAGTGTAGCACCAGGCAGCTTTCTGTTTATGTTGTTTGATTCTGGTACATAAATTTTAGGTTGCAACCCTCAGGAAACCTCACTCAGCAGTTAAACATCTCCTTCTCTGTTCCCCTCTGTGGTTCATATGAGTTCTGTGCAGTAGGTTATACTCCAGCAGAGAGCTGAAATAATAAGTTACTGGTGGGTTTTTTTAGCAGGATTTAGCAGAAGTTGGTAATGGGTAGAACATCTCCTGGGAAATGCTCTCAATTCCTCATGAACTGACCTTTTGCAGGTCTATTTGGTCTCTGAGCTGAGTCACAAATATCATTAGAAATACACAATGTTTAGGGTATAACTATTCAAAATTCATAGCTTATGAAATGGAAAAACCTGTGAAGGTCTCAAATTACGATGCAAATGATGCGCAGGACCTTTCGCGTGGTGAAGAATAACATCTGCCATGGCTGAAATTAGTCTGGGTGTCTCCCACAATAATAGGAAGGGAGCCAAGAAGCAAACTGAATCTCGGTTTTATTTAAAAGATTTCAGTGAGACATGGATTTCATTGCAGGCTGGAGGATGCAGACATTAAAGATGACTTAAACAAAAAGGGAGGTTAAAGATGCAAAATGGGCTTTTCAGAAGCATCTCAGCCCCATTTGCAAAAGTAATGGGAACTAAGTTCTGGTCCCTGACCTCCATTTGAAACCAAATCTGGGCATTTCCTGAAACCAGATCAGTTCTGACACAAAGATACCTAACACAGGAATGGTGCGTGGCTAATTAACCCCCGAAGTGACCTCCGTTCACACGTTTACAGCACGCATATAGATTATCTTCCCAGTAATTCAGTTGTGTTGTGTGGGTTCAGGTCTTGCAAAATTTAAATTCTGAAACAAGACTGTGCTGGAATGTGAATAATTGGGGCTGTTATTTCTAGGGACACACTGGTCACAAAGGAGAACCTGGCGAAATAAAAAAAGGAGAAAAGGTAAGCTTTAAATTAAGGAGGAAGGGGGCTGGGGGGAAGATTTTTCTCTTTAAAAGCACCATAACAAATAGTTTCTTCAAGAAGGCAGGGAGAAAGGAGGGAATTGGCTGTACAGCATGAGGTTACTGTGACTTAAATTCACTGGCTTCTGGGGCTCTGCTTGTATGACACTGCTAGTTCATCTTCCGGATAACCATGGCGTTAAGATCAGGTCGATAAGTTAACACCTGTTGTTTCGCATGCAGGGATGTCAGGTCAGGAAAGAAGTCCTGCAGGAATTGCTCAGGTAAATTCCTGACTGCTAAGTGTTCTTGCACAGAGAAGAAATGGCCTGTAAAGTAGAAGTAAATTCTGAAGCAGAAATCTGAGTGAGAGGGAGCTCCAGGAGAAGGAAGATGGGAAGGTCCCTGGCTTTGGGTTGGCAGACTTGTGGTCTTTCATCCTTTGTCTAATTATTTCTCCTCTCCCAGGGCAATCCTGGCCCCCCCGGTCCTCCAGGCATTCCCGGCAGCGTTGGCCTGCAGGTAACACCTCCGACCGGTTCCCATGACCTTTTCACCATGAAACTCAATGGTGCCATCAATCATCTTGCGTTACACAAACAGCTCTGGCCTCTGCAGAATAACAGATGTGAAAGTTGATGCTGGGGGGAAAACAAATCGTGCTGGTTTCACTGAGCTTTAATTCAGGTCCTGCTTTTGGTACCTCACCTCGGATGAGACATCCAAGAGATAGTCACGCTCGCTGGTGCCCCAGCAGAGCCCTGGACACCTTTTGGGTGGATGTGAGGCTGAGCTCTGGGCTGCTGGAGGGCCTGGCAGGTGGGCTGGCAGCAGCGGGCACTCTGCACGCCTGTCTGCGTGGGGCATCTCCAGTGTCGCTTGCTCAGAGGTCACCGCCGAAGGGGAAAACGTCTTGTGTTCGTGCATCAGAAGGCTGAGCTTTCTGCCGCTCTTCATTGTTTGTTAATGCTTTCTGTGTTGATGAGTTGCTACAAGGTGCTGTTCTGCCATTTTATGGGCAACAGTGATTGGGTTTTAACTGATTTCTTTTCTTCACTAGGGCCCAAGAGGACTGAGAGGCCTCCCAGGGCCAATGGGTCCGGCTGGTGACAGAGTAAGAAAAACCTTTAGATATTTTATGGTTTTTCCCCTTTCCACCACCAGTTTTTCTCATGCAGGGTCTAGGTGGCATTTGTCCTTACTGGACTTGTAAATATGAGATGTGCAGGCTCTTTCCTGCACCACCCCCCCAAGCAGAACAACCTTCCAAAGGCAGGAGGAGTCTACAGACCTGTGGGATTGGCAGGCTCAGGCCCAGCGTTGCTTTGAACAGGGCAGAAGGATGAAGTGCTGCCCGTGCACGACTGACCGTGCGAAGAATCTTGCAAAAAACACCCCTGAAAAATGTTTCGTTTCACTTTCTGTCCTCTCTTTGAGAAGAAAAATGCACAGAATCACTGATGGACAGATTTTCAGGACATGAAAAGTCTCCTCAGTGAGCACAGGGGCAATCTCCAGCTCATTGTGGCTTTGGACTTTTGCCAAGGTCCCTTGAGCATTGCTCCAGGGGCTGAATGGTTTTGAATCTGATAGTCGTGCATTTCCTTAGGAACAAGGGTGTTATCAGGATATCAAGGCCATGGATGATACCGGTGTGTCACGAGTGGAGGGGAGATCCAGGGTGAAAACCTGCTTGTTCAAAGGGGGATCTTTTGCAGGACTGTGTTGCAAAGTAGTGAGAACTGTGGGATATCTTCCCAGGGCTGCGCGTATTTTCTCAGATTGCAGTATAAGGTGGTGATGCTGTTACTCCCCCCTCTGCCAACCCCAGCGTTACAATGCTGTGTTTTCCTTTGCAGGGTGACATCGGTTTCAGAGGGCCACCTGGAATCCCAGGACCTCCAGGAAAAGCTGTATGTATCTGCTTCTCAGCACCTCTGTGGCCTTGTCTTCCACAACCAGAGCCTGACATTCACTCCTCCTGCACTAAACTCCCTGCTGCCAGTGAACAGGAGGGGTGTGCTGACCACCTCCAGCAGATTATTCCCTTTGCCTTTTCCCTCCAGTGATTTCAATGTGATTTCACCTGACCCAGATCTCCTGATGTCTTTCCCTCAGTCGTGTCCCCTGCCAGAATAAGTTCACCCCGTTTCTATTGCACTTTGTTCTCCACAGCCCTTCCCTGAGCATCAGCAGCTGTGGGCAAGCACTTGGCCCCCCCAGTGGGCATCTGTGTTGTTCCTGGGAAGGAGAGATTTGAGGGAGAATCAGTAAGCGCTCTCCTCAGCTTACATCCTTTGAGCCTGGTCTATTCCCAGGTGCCCGTGGCTCGCAAGGACTTTGGCTGCAAGCAAGATAGTTGTTCATTAAAGATGCAGTCCTCGTACTTTTGCAGAGCTCTGGGGTGAAGTGTAGAATACTGAACCTGCATGCTTACCTGGCGGCAGAACCCTATACCCTCCTTACTGTGCCCAAATGTGAGACCTGAGCTGCATCTGCAGCATCATGGCCTCTCTAAGAGCATTTGCTGCTGGCCTGCCACCCAGTCTGTCCTTACTGTGGACACTATGGCATCTGTTTTATAGCAGGCACCTTTGCCTGCCTACGCCAGCCACCACGCCGCAGTCCGCACTGACCCCAAGGCAGAACCACCCTCTGGGGAGCCACCCTTAATCTTTGCCATTATAGAAGAAATTCTATACTAAAATAAAATGACGTCCACCAAACGCTTAATTACACCAAGCAGGATCTAGACAGTAAATATTAAAGTTTTTCTCCCACTCTGTTTCTGGTGAAAGAAAATGCATCGTTAAATGAAGGAGAAGATGGTCTCTGCCTCGAGGGATTGTTGGCAAAGGCCCTGCTGCAATCCATCTGTGTGTCAGGAATTGCAGAGTGTAGCTGAGAAAGTACAGCCGAGCTCCTAAGGGAATGAACGCTCACGCCTCCGCTAACGCCAGCAAACAGCAAAAAAGCCTCTGTCTTGCACCCTTGAAACATCAGTCTTTGCTGCTGCGTGATGAAGATGCTTAATGACTTTTCCTCCTCTGTCACAGGGAGTTCAAGGAAACAAAGGACCTCAAGGATTCAGAGGGCCCAAAGGCGATACTGTAAGTGCAGTAAAACACCCATCTGCTCCAAATACTGGAGGTGACGTTCAAAGGAGTCTGACAGGTTTCTTATGGCTTGTCCCCCGCCTGGTTTATTTGAACAGGAGGTGAAAGGGATGGAAGTATTCCACTCAAAAATGAGATATTTAAATTTTATTAAAGATGCTTAAGTAATAAGATGCCTAAGTGCTCTTACAGTCCAGAACATGGCGACCAGATCGTACATCTCCATCCCTTAAAATGATCAAGAGTTTTACCAGTGTTGGGCCAGTTTTCTGGTGTGTCCTAAAAGAACCACCGTGCCTGTATGAACAGGACAGGAGCCAGCACAAACGGAATGAAATGTCCCTACAGAGTTCAAGTATTGTCTTCATTCACTGTTCTTAGGGTTGTGTCCAGGCTAACACAGGGTTTATCACTGTTTTCTAGGGTAGACCTGGACCAAAAGGAAACCCAGGGGCTCGTGGGCTCATAGGAGAACCTGTAAGTCAACTAAGTAAGATGCAACTCTCCCTGTTGTTTTCCTTGGAGATGATGAGATAAAACACGATTGGGGAAATCTTGCATCTCGCAGTCTTTGCTGTCAAACTTCTGCTCTGTGGGTCTGTGTGACCTTCAGTGCCATCCTGGTTGGACCAAGCCCTAGTTGTACTGCTGTTCATGAAAAACCTCCCTGTCTCCCAGTACACCCGGAGTTGAACCCATGGCCAAAAAAGTTCTTTGGGAATGTATTTTGTAAACCACAGAGTCTCCTCGTAACCTTAACCTGGGTTGTGTGTGGTTGCAGGGCATGCCTGGCAAGGATGGACGGGATGGAGCTCCTGGACTCGATGGTGAGAAGGTTTGTAAAGTCCTACTTAAACACAGCAGGAAAGATTTCGGTTACTGTCCCCTGTGTGATGCAGAGCCACTGATGCTTGTCAGGAAAGAGCATGGCTGGAAAGCTTTTGCTTCTGAAGAGTTTTCCAATAGCCAAGAAGAGGGAAGTTGCTTCTACTAATTAATCCCAAGGAAATTCCCATGGACAGATGATCTAAACTCAGCTGTGTCCCTGTACTTAGTGGTTCCTGTTGGCTGACTCCAGGCCTTCAGAGATGCTTTTTCAGAGCTGTTGACAGAGACATCTGTTTATTCTGACTGCCTGTAGACAGAGTGCTGTCAGGTACGAGTTGCCTGCCTTTTGAATGGTGATCCCGCAGGGACAAGGACCGTGTGCTCCCACGGAAGGGTGGGAGCTGCAAGAGGACTAGGGAAACACCTGGGAGCTCTGGGCACCCCATGTCAAGTGGGAGCCCACCTCCTGTAAACAGAACAGGTTCTTGGTCCTGCACGTAAGGGGAGGGAGAAGATTACAAATGCCTGTTTGGGAATGTGTCCCCTCCCTGTGTCAGACCGTTTCCCAGTAGCAGAGGGTCTCTCCTAACCTCTCCATATCCACAGGGTGATGCAGCTCGCATGGGTGCTCCTGGGGAGAAGGGGCCAAACGGACTCCCTGTGAGTATGGCAGCGGGACCCGTCACCTTTGGGGTGGTACAGCAGCTTGGCCTGTGTACAGAGATCATTCCTGGGGAGAGGGGAGCTTCATTTTGTGCATTGTCTCACAAGGGGCCCCATTTAAGCCAAGAGGAAACGCACTTTTCCCACCATACAAGACAGAACGGAAAACATCTGGAGCAGCACCAAATACTAATACAGTAATACCCTGGATTTTGGGCACTCTGGCTCTGTTCAAAATTTAAATTTGAGAGGGATTCTCTCTTTCACATCCCAGTGACGTGCATCCCTTATGCAGGAAGGTAAGATCTGGGATACAAATGACCAAAATTCAACAACAGCCTGAGCCCTCTCCCTGGCTGACTAGTGTTCACTGGCAAAATGTTTCATCTCTCCAGTCTTCCAACTATTTAAATAGAGGTAAAGTATTCCTTTCTTCCTATTTGGAACCCCCCTGGAGAGAGGTTTCTGCTGTGCAGAATGTTGCTGGTGCTGCTGTATTTGTATATTCCTCCTCTTTGCTCTAATTGTCAAGGATTAGTGGACGTAGGGCTGCTGGTGCAGTCAACAAGGGGGAAATTGAAGCCATAATTTTCATGGTGAAAGCTGTAGAAATGTAAATCCTCCATTGCTTCAAGCAAACATTGCTGCTTGTATGTCAGATCAGACCAGAATAACAAATGTAGTAACTCCCACTTCTTCTGACATTGCTTTAATATGATTTTTTTTCAGGGACTGCCTGGAAGAGCCGGTATCAAAGGCTCAAAGGGTGAACCAGTAAGTGAATCTCTCTAATGATGGGTTCTGGTGTGGAAGCTACTGAACATGTCACGGCAAGGCTCGTCAGCTTTTGGGGACTGGTGCCCATGAGCAGACCCTGGGAGGGTTTAGCCTGACGTGATGGGGTGGGCGCTCCTGCCAGGGCCGGGTTCCGTGGGCAGGGAGGAGCGGGCATGAGGTGTGATGACTGGATGGCCCTGCTCGCCGAGACAGCTCTTGCACCTGGGTCAGTGAAGACGTAGCAGATACACAGGAGAGTCGTCAGTGGTTTAGTAACCTCAGAAGGAGGCGTTGCCCCTTTTGCCAAAGTCCGGAGAGCAGGGTTCATCTTTGGGAATCAAAAGGCTGAGCATGTGCAAGCAGGGGCAGGATTATCTTGTCTTTTGGAGACTGTCTCCCCACCTCAGGAGAAAAGGCTCCACAGAGCTTCAGTTTGGCACCTATGTGAGAGAAAATCTCAGACCAAAGCAGTCCAGCACAAAGCTGTTCTGGAAAGTGTCTGGTTTTCCTTCCTTTCTGAATTTCCCATCTGCACCTGTTTCGTTATTCTTGCTAATCCTCATGCACTGCAGGCAGGTGCTTCTCCTGCATCGAGGTGATGCAGGAGTGAATGAAATGGGGTGTCCTGAGCATCCCTGTCTCACTCAGTCCGAGGTGGGATATGGTAGCACTGCCCTGGGGCTGGCAGCCTTCCCTTGTCCAGGACAGGACATACAGCTCATCTGCTCTTTAAAATGTCCATGGCTTAGAGTTTTCTCTTCTTGGTCTTCAAATTGTAAAAGTTTAAAGCGTTTCTTATTTCCTTACCCAGGTTTTAACTCCCTGCTCTGTTCTTTGGTCTAGGTAGGACAGAAATGACTCTGAAGTTGTGCCCTCACTGAGTGTTTGCTTTCTCCTCTGCAGGGCAGTCCTGGAGAGATGGGAGAGGCAGGTCCCTCTGGAGAGCCGGGCATCCCTGTACGTATCCTCGTCATTTACACTTACCATGGGCTCTGCTGTGAGTGTGCTTTACACCACGCTGTGAGGCTGCAGCTCACACGCTGCTTCCCTGCAGAAGTAAACTAGGAATGGGATAGCTGCTGTGCTGCCGGCAGCACGCGCGAGCCCACGGACACCTCCGGGCGCAGGAGCCGTGCTGCAGCAGAGGTCGAAGCCCACCAAGGCAGGCGACGGGACCTAGTGGGTGGGGCAGCAGGACAGGGAGTTTGGGATTGAAATAGCCTGGGATCCTGGAATCCGTTCTGGCTCTGCAGTGGGTTGGGAAGGGTGGATTCGTGGCTCCTAAATGGTACAGCTGACTTTGGTGTTATTGCCAGGGCGATGTCGGTATTCCTGGTGAGAGAGGTCTGCCGGGACCCAGAGGAGCAACTGTGAGTACAACGCTGCTTGTAAACCCAGTAGGGTTCGGAACGCGGGGATTCAGTGCTGGCTAACAGAAAAGGCCACATTCTCTCTCGGCATTGTCTCTTAGGAATTTTGGCAGCAGAGGAATTACTCCTCTAAGTGGGTCAGCTCCTGCTCTTGCTGACAGCTCTGTGCAAAGGCAAATTCCTCCCGTTTTGTTTGGCAAGGCTGCAGTTATCCCAGAAGATTGTGGAGCTGCTGCAGTCACACAGGAGAGACCGGACAGGCAGCATCTCCCTGCTTAGGCACTAATAACAAGGTTCAGTTTGTGCTGAATGTAAGTCATGAACGAAGCAAAACTCCTGTTAAGCCATTGCGGCGTGCACTGCCCCCAGCACGTGACACATGAGATCCTTCCCATTCCTGTGTCCCTTTCCTTGGAGCAATCCAGCATGTGACACACAAGATCCTTCCCATTCCTGTGCCCCTTTCCTTGGAGCAGTAGAGGTTCACCGCAAAACCTGAAGCCGTACGAGTAGCAAAACTGGGAAGCCTGCACATTGTTGTGGTGACTGACAGAGGCTTGAAAGGTCTTAAAACCTTCATAGACCCGGTGGGAAGCTCCTGCCTTTCTTGCACGTAGCCATGTGCTTTTCCCAGCCGCTTGAAAACGCCCCAAAGTTCGATGGTGGGTGCAACACCAGAACTGTTGTCAGGTGGGGAATCTGTTCACACATTTCCTTCTCCCATCCCGTACTGCAGCAGCGTTATCCTGCTGGGAGCTTGTAGGTGTGAGCCCCAGGAGACAGAAACCCACACGGCTCCTCACTTTTACTCTGTGAACTGACAACTTTTTGAAACTTCTGGGTTAGAAACCGCCGAGGCGCTCGATGGAGCGTCTTGTTCCTGCTTTCATGGCATCCCCTGCATCGTCTTGGAGCCCGAGAAATGAAAAGCTGGAGGAGTTGCGAGGCAAACCTGACAATAACCGCGTGGCTGCCTCTTGTGTCCTTGCTGGACAGCAGAGATCCTAATAAATGACACCAGGACACTACTAAAAATGCTAGAAAACCTTTTATTTTGTCACTCCCCAGGTAGTGCTGCCGTTGTGGTTGTATCTGACCTTCCAGTGGTTTGGTTGGGCTTTATTTTTTTTAATTATTTTCCCCCCTCTTAATCTCATTTTGAAATCCAGAAGCCGACAGCAAGTCTAACATGATTTCTGGTATGTGCCACTTGGAAGAAATTGAACAGTATGATGATTTATTGTTTCCAGGGAGAGGGAAATCGGCCTTAGAAATAAGCTAAATTCATAATGCTTGCTTTTATGCCTGCAATTTTTCATGAAAACAGCTGGCCCCGTGAAAGTTACCATATTATTATAGCCAAAAGTGGAATGCAGTCGAGCTAATCTCATGGGTGCAGACCTCTGCTGCCGATGCCAGAGCAGATGACCCCGTGTTTATTGCTAACGTGGGTTTCTCAGTTCTGATTTGAGAGTCCTAATTTCTATGAAACATAGTTTAGTCTGGGCTATTCTCAGAGTGTTGCGGGACGCCTCTGGTGTTAAGACTGGTTGGCTCAACAATGCCACTTCACTGGTGGCAGCACAGTGAGGGTTTCTGCCCATCGGAGGCTGCGGGGTTCGATCAGGTCCCACCACGATTAAAGGCACCAGCGCAGCAGAGTCGGTTTTGGTGCGATTTAACGTAACTTGTGGAGCTCTGTATTTGTAACTCTCAAAGCTCCTCACTGAATGACAAGTGTGGAAACAGTAACCACGAAAAAAACCTGAGCAGCTCTCTAGCTTTATTTATTTCCTTCTGGGCAGACCCTGGTTTCTGCACAGGGTTATGGTTGTGCTCGTCTTGAGAGCCAGGCAGGGATAAGGGCAACTGGTTTAGACCCAGTACTGAGGGATTTCCTCTACCTGACAACCAGAAAAAATTACGAGGGACGGCAGATATTCAGATGCCAGGGAGAATTTGCAGGGCTAACAATCAGGGGAAAAAGTACAAAAGGAAAAAATAGAGATGCCAGTTTAGCAGGGGGCACGCCTGTGCTGCAGCCCAGCGAGAGCTGGTTTCTCGGGTGCGTGGGCAGTGGGTGCTGATGATCCCCTGCCTGGGGGGGCAGTTTGGAGTCTGTTTGTGCCCCGTAAGGCTACACCCAGCAGAGACAGCTGTGTAAGGAGACACAGCTAATGTCCCACCTTGCAACAGCAGTTTGCCTAAGGCATCTGTTTCAAGAAGACACTTCACAAAATGGGATTTAGCTGTCTAATACTTAGGGCTTTTTTCACCCAAGACCTTTTGCACATAGGTGATTTTTCTCAGTGGAAAGCAACGGAGACTCCAAAGGGTGATGTTCCTGTTCTGTCTAGTGAGCCGGGCTCTTAAAAGCACCTGCACTAACAGCACGAGACGCTGCCATTTATGTGTTGCAGGTACAAATTATGTCCGAGCAAGTGGACACAATTGTCCGTTTTCATGGCCAAGTGCACGCAGCACACATTTTACAGTGGTTTCTTGTAGAACTGGACTGATTAAAAGCATAATATTGGGATAGCAGATCCCCTTTACTGTCTATTGTCTGTGCTTTATCATTATAGTGCTTTTTGCTGTCACTGATCTTTACTGCTCATGACTATGGCATGTCATTAGCATTAATATATACAAATCAGCATTTTTGCTAAGAACAACAACAGCAATAAGGCTCAGTAAACACCAAGCACCACTTTCCAGTGGTTCATCAGCAATGCCACCGGCAAAGCGTGCTGCAGTACAGCACCGCTCGCCCTCTGCTACAAGTGAGCCAATTTATGGCACGAGTGACTCCTGGCTCGGAATTTTCTCCTCACCAAAGCTTATCTTCCTCTTTTTAGGGGCCGCTTGGTCTTCAAGGCCCGATGGGAGCCCCCGGCGTCAGAGGTTTCCAGGTTGGTGTGCTGATAAGGGTAACTTTGATGTGTGTCGTGTTTTGGCAGGCGGCTTTTCTGGAACCCTCTGGCGTGACAAGCGCATGGTGGCAACAAGGGGCAGGAAGAAATGTCCTTCCACTTGCCAGGACCAGACTGACACGGTTATTAACACTGCATGGTAGAAAAGGCACGAGATAAGCTGCCTGCTGGAACAATTTCTACTTCTAAGTAGAAATTTAGAATGCAAAAGAAGGGTTTGAGTTTGGCTTACGTAAAACCACCTTAATTTCTCCTCGATCTGGACACTCCCAGCCTGTGTGACTTCGGCAAACTCCTCCGTTCTGCAGAACTGGGGATGCTCATATGTTTTCTTCCCCTCTGCAAGGGAGTGTTCACAACCACTGCCCATTCCCAGTGAAACTGGCTGCAAACCAGTGTAGGGCACTGCCTTCTTGGGCGGGAGTCACAGAGGTGTTTGTATGAGCCAAAGGCTGGAGTGGCTGAAACGTGGAGGGGCCGAAGTCGGTGGGAGCTGCACTGAGCAACGTGAGTGGTACCGGCAGTTGGCAAGCAGTCCCCGGGTCCTGGGGGGAAAAGGAGAGGAGATCTGAGGCAGATAACGTTTCTGACCACGTTATGGAGACTGGTGAACCTTGGGGATGTCAAGTACACGGGGTTTCCTGGAACTTCAAGCTGTAGCTCTTTCTTTTTTGTTTTCCTAACAGGGTCCCAAAGGTGCCAGTGGTGAACCTGGCCTTCCTGGTCCAACTGGAATTCGTGGAGAGTTAGGTGACAGGGTAAGGAGAAGACATCCGTATGCAATTCCTGTTTGGGAGGTGTGAAATTAGGGTGTAACGGGGCCCCCAGACACGGTGTAGCCGACGTCACCCCAGCAAACACAAGCAGGCTTGGTAGAAGGTGGGTGCGCTGGGCATCCCAGTCCATCCTCTGCGGCTGCGGCGAGCCCAAGGCAGATTTTGCGGCAGGGAGCAGGATTCGTGCATCGCGTCTCTTCTGGTCCTGTCCTTGTTTCCGTTGCCATTCAGGATCTCACTATTTTTAGACAGGAAGGGTTGTTTAAAAGAGACTTTGGGATGCAATCCTAGCCAGAATAGATGATTGGTTTGGGTTTTTTTTCCCCTGCTGCATGTGCTGATTTCACCAAAGCCCTGTTCCTTGTGAGGACAGGAGGGCTGATTCCTGCATTTTTGTTACTCAGATGCCTGGTGAGGATTTCTGGATTTTTTTTTTAAATGACAGTTTACTCAGTGATTTTCTTTCTGAGCAGCCACACACCTGGGCCCCCGACCTCAGAATAAATGCAACTCCTTACTTAAATGAATTCATTCTCATTTAAAAGAAGCCAGCAGGGTGAAGTGAACGACAGGGCTTGCAGAACAGTAGCCGTGTGTTCGCTGGCTCCCTGGACTCCAGCTTTAAGGTGAAGTTCCTGTGTAAGCAATCACAGCGGCACCACGGGGGATTCACAATGGCCCTTCTGTGCCGGCTCCAGGCAGGTCTGAAAAAGCCTCTTGGAGGGACTGTGAGCCTGGAAGTGTGGAACAGGGGGGTTATTGTGGAGCTGCAGGGTCCTGACTGCATTCAGGGCTTCGCTGCCGTGAAAAAATATATGTTCAGAGAGGGGAAGAGGCCCCTGCGCAGAGCAGCCTGGTATCCAGAGGCTGCTCCGAGCTGAGGGAGGGAAAATATTATGCTTAAGGCAAAAAAAAAAAAAAAATCAAGGTTTTATTTCTGGCTCTGAAGTTAAGTGTGGTTACTCTGAGATGCAATTGTTGATTGTTTCGCAACACCCCAGCTCGTTAACAGCTTTCCCCAGGAATACGTGCTGCAGCGGGTTTGGATAACGCTGGAGACTTTCCACCTTCTCGCGTGCAGTGGGTACTCGGGACAGCTTCCATCTGCCCGCCCAGTCCCGCTGGAGTCGGTGCCACAGTCCGACCCCGTGCGGGCAGCAGCGAGGGCTCTGCCAGCAACCAGCCCTGCGCGTTTCCACGCCTGTTACCGGGCGCAGGATTTGGGCTGGGAAGACCCTAAAGCCTCAGAATGTGTCTTGATAGCTTAAACAAAGCCTTTGCTGCTGGGGGGGATGGTGTCTGCTGGGGGGGGACAAAATCAATTGGGTTTTTTTTTGTTTTGCACAAAAAACCCTAAAAAAATATTCCTGGAAGCCCAAGCTACCGGGTACTGATGCTCCTTCGGTCCTTGGACTGACTGTGGCCAGGAATATAAACCAGTTTATCAGTGTCTTCGCTGGCCTGACAAGTAGGTTTAGTACTTCTGACCGTAAGATATAAAATAGCACTGAGAGGATCCATAACCCATCCTGTTGGTTTGTATTATGTTGGTTTATAGTATGTTTTGTACTGGGGAGAGGAAGGATTTGGCTGTTATTGCTGACTGGGGTAGCAATAGGAAACTATTTTTCCTGAGGATCTTTATCATGATCAAATTCCTGAGGGTTCTGGATGCGTCAGCCAGCTGGGGCAATATCTCTCAGCTCCATACTGGCATCACTAGGTGCTTGGCCAAAAAATGCGGGTTGTGCTTGACTGATGGGGTGACACAAAGGTGAGGATGGCTGGTGGACGTGGAGCTGGTGGTCCTAAAGCCCTGTCACTTGTTCCTGCTGCTAGGGGTTGCTACTGCTGTAAATTACAGTTTTGAATGAAAATCTTATGGGCTAAGGTTTTCCTTAAGGGAATTCTCCTTGCAGGCCACGGTCTTGGGTGAGTAAGCTGTGTTGTATTGCCATAAACTTTCCTGGAGCCTTGGGACTCTGTGGAGTTGGAGGTATAAATCCAGATGATAACATTCAGAAAAGAACATACCACCTTTGCCATCGGCAGATGTTAAATAGGAGTTATAAATAGCTGTAGCCATTCCTACATTTCCACATTCTGTTATCTGTTTTGCTGAGAATTATTTTTTTCATGATAGAAATTCGCCCCCTTTTTTAATTTATTCAGTGCTTGAGCAGAATGACATGCCCTTGTTACACGTGTGTCCTCCTCGAAGATTCTGTGCTGCTGAGCCATCTCCAGACCGAGTCATTAAAAAAAGATCAGTTGCAGATGCCAGATTGATGGATGTGCTGTAAAAATCCTGTTTGAAGGGTAAAATGGTTGGATTGCAGTAGAAAAAAAAATAATCTGGGATTCTTCTGAACTCTGCTGTATGACCCAGGGTCACGAAAATGTCTCGGGTCCTCTCTTGGAATGCCAGGTAGATAAAGTGGGAAGGAATTTTCAAGTTGCCTGAATTACTCCTAGGGTGATGATTCCTGTCGCCGTGGTGTTCTGTGAATCTGAAAGTCAGCAGCACCTGACCCTAAATCCCCAGGAAAATTGACAGTCTCAAAAGGCCTTGGAAAGATTTTTTGCCCTCGCAGTAGGAAAATGTTCTTGTCCATTTTATACCATGAGTAAGTTCGACCTCCTCCTCACATCCTCAGGCGTGAAGGGCAGAGACCAGTCGCCCACCAGCCTCATCCTGGCCCTCATCCTTTAACTTGAGAGTTTGTAAAGACGCTGTTTCAGTCACGAGAGTGGGATGAGTGAAGTAACGAGAAACCGAGGGGCGGAAGCAAATCAGAGTTCCCGACCCAGGGATGGGTGTGAAAGATGAGTTTTGTGAAACAGGTTTTAAAGACCAGGGTTAAAAGCACAGAATGGATTTTAGTAGTATTTAGGAAATTGAGGAGGATGGTACAAAAGAGGCCAGCGTAGGTAACCTGGGCCAGGCCGGCGGGAAGCGGCGCATCGCTGGGCCAAGTCCTGCTGGTGCGGTTGGACGCAGGGTCGTGGGCCCAAGACCACCAGGCCTGAGGCTGGGGGCCGGCCCGGTCTGGCAGCCCTCTGCGCCGTCACGGTAGGAGGCCGGAGAAACTGCCCTGCGACACAAACACTGACTGCAGAGAGCTGCCAAGCAGCGAGGCTGCTTGAAATCTCAGTGTTCAGAAGTATGAATGAGATTTGGACCCTCCCACTTGGCAGCTGGGAGACTGATTCCCAACCCCTTGCTGAGTGAGTGGATGTTTGACCGCACCAGGAATTCACAGGAAAATAACGGTTTGAGCTCACTTCCCACCTTTCTTTTACTTATTCTCAGGGTCCTACTGGTGTTCCTGGCCCCAAAGGTAACCAGGTAAGTGGTAACTTTCATGCTGGGGTCCGCAGAGGCATTGAATCCCTATCTTAGGTGCAGCCTTTGGCAGCACAAACAGCTTTTCCTCCCTCAAATAAAAATACTCTGGAGCAGGCACCAACTAAGAACCCTCTTTGGTCCTGTTTTTCCTGCGTTAATGAAGGAGGTGTAGTCTGTTCTCATGGAGACACGTGAAAATGCTGTGTATTTTGTATTTTCACATCCTATTCTTCCCATGTTCAGTCTGAAGCGCAGCTTTTCACTGCACTTGGTGTGCCTGGTGAGGAGGATTCGTCTATCCCAGCCTCAAACCTTGGCACATGAACTAATTTAACTTTTTGCTGCTTAACTTCCATAGTTGGATTAATCTCAGCGATGAGCTTTTGAGCCAGTTTTCATCAATTCCATGACTTTCATTAATACATAACTGTTTTTGCAGAATACAAGTGCTTTTCCAGCAGGCGTTGCTGGTTTTGTTTACCAGCATCGGTGTCTGTGTGGTCCCTGTTTTGTTGCGAAGGGAAAGACCAACCTAATCTCTGTTTGTCTTGAAATATCTCCCTCTCTAAAGCCATGGAGTCACCATAACAATGTTTATTATCTGCTCCAATTGCTGTGTAATAAGCCAGCTCTGCTGCAGAGCATTGGGCACGGGGAGCAGATTGCAGGAGTCCCTGTTGCCCCCAGCGATGCTGGAGCAGCTGCGTAAGCTGCTGAGTGCCTCCATCTCCCTTAGAAACTGAGGTTATCCGAGTGTCAGTAGCCTCTGTGCACCAGTAAGTGCAGTGTTAATTCTGCTCTCTCACTTTCAGGGAATTGCTGGAGCCGATGGCCTCCCAGGTGACAAAGGAGAACTGGTAGGTGTCCTTAAATTTGGTAGAATTGACTCCTCAAATACTGGATGGGTCTAGAGAACCATGAATTGGGAACTGATACGGTCATTCAGAATTAACCGTCCCAGAGCTCCAGCCTGCTGGCTGCAGTGAAGGAGAAGGCACCCCAAACCTTTCCACCAGCACATTCACGGTGTGCTTCAGCTCTCTCCTTGTCTCCAAGAAGCACCAGCCAGCCCGTGTGGCCTTGCAGAGCTGTGGGACACCAGCACGCATTTGCCATTTTGCTCCCGGGGGCACTTTGCTGTGTCCCTGGGCGGTTTGGGCCGTCCCAGGCTGTAGCCAGGTTCAGCACGGGTACCCAGGGCATCAGTCCTCTCGCTCTTATGCCAGCGCTGAGTCTGGTCTCCAGCAGCCTGTTACCATTCCTTGCTTCTAATTCCTTCCAATCAGAAGCCATGTACAAGACATCACAGCCTCCTGAAGCTTGGCCAGCGAGAGATTTGACTTTAGATGCGCGTTTTCTGAGGAGACCAATCTTTATTCTTTCCCTTTTCTTTCTAACAGGGTCCCTTTGGTCCCCCCGGCCAAAAAGGAGAGGTACGTGTCAGACATTGAGGATTCGTGCCCCGAAAGGTTTGGGAGTAAACGTGCCGATTGCATCTCTCCACGATGCATCTCCGTAAACCACATCCTGGTGTCATTTCCTAGAAGCATGTTTTCTTCATAGCCATGCTATAAAGTAAAGGACAGTGACAGTTCTCTGTGGCATTCAAAGCATTCAAATGGTTATATATTATTATATATGTGATGTATAGTGTCAAATGTTGCTGCAGCATTGACATGACCTACGTATGTAAAACCACCCGTATGATGTAAGAAACGTTCATGACCAGCCAGGTCAGTTAGGGAGACCCAAAGAAAGGCTTTAACTAATCCCCAGGAGAAAACAATGGACCGCGTCTTCCATTTCAAGTGCTGTTGTATTTTCTTTCCTCTTCATTACAGCCAGGAAAAAGAGGAGAACTTGGTCCAAAAGGTGTCCAAGGACCTAATGGGACAGCTGGAGTACCAGGAATCCCAGGACATCCAGGCCCCATGGGCCATCAGGGGGAGCAAGGTGTTCCTGGCATCACAGGAAAACCGGGGCCTCCTGTAAGTATGATCCACCTCTAGGCACAGTCAGGGAGTCACGGAAATGGGTCATGGATTTTGGATGCATATTCAAAAAACAAGGTCCTGCATCTGAGCAGGCATGAGCAGGTAACTGCGCCTGCAGGGTAATGGTCACGAGTTGGCCGCTGCAAAAGGATGAACAGCTTCACAGTTCAGACCCCCCGGAATGTGAGCCTGGGAGAATTAATCTTCTTCCCCTTAACATGAACAGATTATCTGCATCCCTTGGAGCTGGCTGTAAGTCACTGTTCTCCAAAGTGGGTTGGAAGTTGGTCATTTAAAAACACAACTATTTACTGCTTCAAACATCAGACCCCTGTCCACAGCTCATGTTGTGTCATTCGGGAAGAGATGGTGGGGACCACTGGGACAGGTTGCCCAGAGAAGCTGTGGATGCCCCATCCCTGGAAGTGTCCAAGGCCAGGCTGGATGAGGCTTGGAGCAACCTGGTCTAGTGGAAGGTGTCCCTGCCCGTGGCAGGGGGTGGGACTGGGTGGGCTTTAAGGTCCCTTCCAACCCAAACCCTCCTGTGACTCTATGAAAAGCCAATAAGAACCACATTAAATATCTGGCCTAAAATTAATTTTAATCTCTGCATTAATATGACGGAGCATTAAAATTAATCTTAATCTCTGCATTAATATGACGGAGATGCTAAACGGAATCCATCGTCTTTTGGAAAGGAGAAACTCCACACACACACACATGCAGGATCCTGTCCTTCTTCCTGAGCTGCTGGAAATGAGTTTCACATCCTGAATTTTCTGCCAGGGAGGATTATGGATAACGTGGTTTGTGTAAGGATGGATTCTTCTGCTGATTTCAGGGCAAAGAGGCCAGCGAGCAGCATATAAGAGAACTCTGTGGGGAAATGATAAATGGTGAGTATTGCTGGGGGAAAAGCTACTTTAATTACCATTTTTAGCTGAAAATGAGTAGATCCTGAACACTGGATGGCTCCTGAGATGTTATTTTTCTGCCTCAGTAAGAAAAGCTACGTTGACCTGTAATGTAAGGGAATTATTCCGGAGGTCACCTTTCATTTTTCTAAAATCAGAATTTTAAGGGATTTGTCATGGCGACATCCGAAGTGTGCCAGAAGCAGCTTTGGCTCAAGCATCACCCACGCACGCCGGGTAGCACGTCTGCCCTAAGCTGTGTCATTCCGACCTTCAGCTCCCACCTCCCTGGAGCAGGGGCCAGCTCCCGAGGAATGTTCTGTCTCTGAAGTTACTCTTCTGCGTTTCCAGGTTGTGTTTGCTCCCTGGGATGGAGTTAAACTCTGAAATACTGTTTCACAAGACTTGCTTTAATTATTTAAGTCTCATTTTCTATACTTGACATCTTTCCAAGTGGTTTAGGCCGTGGGAAGTACCAATGCCTTAAAGCACCTGCTGATTTCTGACCAGAATCTCCCTCTGTGGAGATTTGGAAAACAAAAAGACGCAGATGAGCTGCGAGGAGATTCAGTGTCTCGTTTCCTAGGAGCAGGAAGCGTGTAGGGTGGCCCAAGCGTGCCACTCTGCTTTACCTCGGCCCCTGGGTTTGCTGCTGCCCACCCAGTCCAGCACCTGGTGGCAGAGAGCCAAGTGAAGGGGGAAGATGCTGGACACGGGGTTTTGAATTGTTCTTTTGCAGATCAAATTGCACAGCTGGCTGCTAATCTGAGGAAGCCCTTGTCTCCTGGAATGACGGGTCGTCCTGGCCCAGCTGGTCCCCCAGGTCCTCCTGGAGCAACGGGAAGTGTTGGGCATCCTGGTCCTCGTGGTCCCCCAGGATACAGAGGGCCAACAGGAGAACTTGGTGATCCTGGTCCCAGAGGTAAGGCTGAACCAACCTGCTCCTCTTACGCCCACTGAAGCGCAAACCTGTGCTGATGTCAGCAGTGGAGGGGGACAGGTCAGGCCTTGGGCAGCCGATGGGGTTCTGGAGGGCAGCTCTGTACCTTTAGGGGTGCAGAGACCCTACCCGTGTCCTGAGGATTCTGAGTCCCTCTTAGTCCTTCCCCTTCCTGCCCTTGGATCCAGCTGCAGTGCACAACTCGTCATTGAAACTGCCTGTTTATGGTTTTGTCAAGGTGACACCGGCGAAAAGGGAGATAAAGGACCTGTTGGCCAAGGTATCGATGGGCCTGACGGCGATCAGGGACTCCAAGGTAAGGCTGTGCCAATGCTGAGTAAGGCCCGGCTGAAGTAAAGGCTCAGCAGGGGCAGCTCTGGGTGCTGTTGACGGTGTTACAGTCGGTGTCCCTGTAATCCTTAGGGCAGGGGGTTTTCCTGTGGGAACAGCAGGTGCAGTTTGAACAGCAGAACTCTGTTAGCGCATCCCCTCTTCACACCACTCCCACCCCGTCCTAAAAATGGTTTGGAGAATGATTTGGGGAACAGGCTGCTGGGACAGCCTGATGCTTCGGTTGTTCTTGGTTTATTCCACAAATGGCTGTGAAAGGTTGGGAGCTTTGACAGAGCGGGAGGTCAGAACCCTTCCTAACTCCTCCCCCATGGTTGCCGGTGTCAGGGGTTGTTCTGTCCGGTGGCACTTCACACCGTAACACCCGCAAGGCTCTGGCTCCAGGTTATGGCAAAGGGACGGTGCCCGCTGCCCGTTCCCTGCCCTGTCCCGATGGACACGCGTCCTTTCGGTGCTCTGCCCGAAGAAAGCCGGCCGGGAAAGCGACAGCCTGGACTGCGGCTCCAGCATTCAGCTCGTATTTATGGATCAGACATCCGGGACGATGTTTCTTCGTAGCAGAAACCAACATAACTCTCCAGTGTAATGATGCTGAGAGTGGTGTTAGTGGGCTACAATCTCCGTTCCTGAAGTCATGAATCCTTCATCAGAGGATTCAAAGATTCATTTATGCAAATTAATGAATATCTATTAGAAACTTGGAAGAATATTCTTTATTTTGCTCACCCACCGAAGCAACTTTTCTCATTGCCATGATTACGGGCAGCAAAAGCAGGCTCTGCATTCATAAAACGGAGTATTTATACCCAAGTTGTCTTAAATTCTCCCATAAAGTGGTTGCATTAATCCATGAACATTTTCTTTCCCAAAGCACGTGAGGAGGGTTTATTCCAAACCTCGTACTCAGCAGCCGTAACAAGTGTGACGTAGACACACAAAGGGGTTTGAGAACTCAAAGTAACACATATATACACACACACGTAGTAAAAAAAACCGGGGGGGAAGGAGATCATGGATGTAATCTTTTTCCCCTTCTTCCGTAGGACCACCTGGTGTACCTGGAATTACGAAAAATGGACGCGATGGTGCTCAGGGTGAACCCGGTCTTCCAGGGGATCCTGGTATTCCTGGGGCTATTGGGGCTCAGGGAACTCCAGGAATATGTGACACGTCAGCCTGCATGGGAGCTGTCGGAGCATCGACTTCCAAAAAATCATAAAGCCACAGCCCAAGAAGCAAAGAAGTGACTGAATATTTAAACAAAGCGTGCATTGTAAGAAAAGAGATTCCTCCTAGCGATCACCGACAGATGTTCCTTCTGTTGCATTAAGTGGAGACTCTGACACAGTTCTATGAAAAAGCAAGCATCCGGTGAAAACTCGGAATCCAAAGATGCTTTATGAGTGGTTTTTTCCCTCCCCTCAACTAGTTTCCAGAATTTTAACCGCTAAACAACCTCGCCTTCCCTTTCTTCTTTCGCTCAAGAGACCTGCGAGAGGAAGTGCTACTTTTCACCCTCTCCCCACCCC